GGTTTTAGGGGCGCTTGCCACCCAGTTTTTTTGGGCAGGGGGCTGGGGTATACCCTAGACCCAAACCCTAACAAGCCCCCATCGGCCCAAAAAAAATAAAATCAAAAAAATAAGCCCTGAAAACACATCTCTGAGGCAGCCCTAAACCTAAACCAGTACAGCCAAAACCCCTAAACACCAAGCCCCACCATACCCATTCACCCACCCCCTCCCCACCCCCCCCCACCCCCCCCCAAATAATGCCAAAGAAAGACTCAACCGACTCAACCAGCCTAGAACATCAGGTTCAAACCCTGCCAACACTCACGATGCGCATAACTACACCTACGCCTACTCAGATGCGATGAGTTCATGGCCTACGTGTGCCGAGATTATGTGCAACTGCAGGTGTGAGGTTCCGGCCAAGCGGAGCCTGATTTCGGCCTGCCTTCTTCCTGAGCAGGGCCAACGGAGCATCACAGTGCACAGCCAACTCCAGCTTCTCCTTCTGCTACAATTTGTTTGGAATTGGGGTTCGGGATCAGCGCTTGAGAGCTTTTAGGTAAAGCAACAATGTGTTCTAGAAACCGGCCAAATTCCGAACGACCCCACAGGCCCCAAATTAAGTTGAGCTGAGCTGCATGAGTGGCAGCGCGCAACCTTGGGCCCAAACCGCCTGTCAGGCCATGCTTTTGCAATGCTCGTGCTGTAAACCCCCGACAAAGGCAGAGGTGTATCACGTGGCGACACTCAAGACAGCAGAAAATCAGCATCCGCTAAGAGTCACCTTCTCGTCATCGTAATCATTTTCACGAAGCGCTCGGGCATTCCTGGCTTGAGTCGAAGGCCATTCCTGCAGCGGCTGCTCAAATGCGTACACGCGTGGCTTTGCCACTCCAGATTGCTGCCACATGCCGGCTAGTTTGGGTGTGTCAAGGTGTTGCCAACCTCAAACAGCATGAAAAAGGAGGCCGACGGCACCGTGCAGCTGTGCAACACTGAACCGATGCACTCCATACACTCAATACACAGCCAGTCCTCTGAACCACCAGTTCCGGCGGACACATGCTTCTCAGCAGCCCGCACAGCACCTGGTATCTTTTGTCAGGCTGGCGAGCCGGCTGGATGCCATGATAGCAACACGGTGCAAAAAAACAATCCGCCGGCCGAGCTTCCGCTGCAACCTGAACCACCGCCAATGGAGCCGACTCCTGCCAGCATGCGCCAGAGGGCGACCATGACATGTGCTCTGGCGTCGTTCGTGAGGCTGCGTCCTGCTCCTGGCGCCAGGCAAAGACCAACCCCTCCACTGCAGCCACTGGCAGAGCCGCCTGTGTCGGGTGCGCCGCAACGTTGCGTGCACACTCATTGACTCACAATACTTGTCCATTCTCAGACAAACAAGAGACAGTCATAATCAGTCTTTGTGCTGCCTGCATAGAACACATCCTGTGGAGGATTTTGCATGCGACTTGGCATCACTACAAGCGACCCAAATGACCACCAACTCCCCTTCGTCAGTCAGAGCCTGACAGCAGGCTGGAGGTGGCATGTCCAAATGCTGCGTGGTTGTGGCCTAAGGCCGGGCTGGCACAAACATATACAAAAAAAAAGGACTAAACACAGCACAGCCAGTCTGCAGATTGCCCTGCTGAGAAAGAAGTCGGAAATTCGGCTCAGCTTCATTGCTGAGGCAGCCACCGGTGGAATATACACCACTTGGCCCATGCTGAGGAGCCACAGCTCTGCTGCCCTGCACAGACATGACAGTGACGATAGGCTAGAAAGGAGTTTTGGACACAAGGATTTGATGTAGGGGATATGAAGAGTCGTGACCTTGCATCTGGCCTTGCACCCAAGCTGAAATTGTGATGCATTTTCTTAGTACGGACCTCATGTTGACCCCAACCTGCTCAATGGACCCATCTCAATCTGTGCTCATTATGATACGCCTTGTATCTTCGCCGTAGCAACCACCCCAACAAACGACCCGGTTTTGTGTAGCCCTGACAGTTGCAACGTTGCTTGCAACCACAATCCCCCGACTCCCCCCTACTTTACTGCGTTCCAACCCATGCACAGTCACAAGCGCTCAACTGAGTGAGCATTTGGGAGCAAAAACAGCCCGCTCTCCGCCTTGGACGTCGCACTCATGCTGCCAGCGCCGAAGAACGGGCCTGAGCCTCGGGGCAAGCGAAATAAACGGTGGGTCACGCAAACGCAGGTTTCTGGCCATGGTGGGCCCATCTTCCCGCTCCAAGGACAGGTCGCTCACGCTCTGCGGCGCTTGGCGTTCCTCGAGTATCTGGGCCTCAGGGGAACGTGTTCTGCAGTGACGGTAAGAACGAGGTACCTGTCCGAACATGCATCCTGCACAGACCCCAAATCATGTGTCTGACGTCTGCGCCTTTTGCTGAATAGAGCAAGGCTCTCATCTATTTTGGCGGAATCCGTGAAGGTGCAGCTTCTTTGACGGATGGCGCTTGGTAGCAACATGATGTGAAGCAGTGAGCCACTGTCTAAGACAGACGAGGTGCGTTGGCGACATACATAAACTGTCCTGAAAGCTTGCAGCTGATGGCACCTTTTGTGGGTGTGGGGCCCTACTAAGCCCTGTTTTTTTTTTTGGGGGGGGGGGGGTTATTTTACGGGGATCCCTATTCTGGGAAGTGCCCAAAACGGGCCTGAGAATGGCCAATCCTACCAACTCAGCCGCCACCGCAGCTGGCCGCATGAATTGAGAGTCTTCGAGCTGCCTGCTGCAGCCTGGTGCAGCGCTCTGCCGCCGTGTCATCAAAATCTTCCATTTCAGATGCGAGCTCAGGCTAATGTTTGTTCAGCTGGAGTTCGTCGTCCAGGCATTCAAAGGGAACGCATTGCTCCATGATCGTCTTGAATCCTGTCACATCCCTGGTCCAGTTGCCATGGGGGAGTTGCTGCAGCTGCTCCAGGCTTTCATTATTTCTCTTGCGATCTCTAAATCTGCCTCCCGCAGACCGCAAAGGTCGCTGCGAGTCATTGTTAGCACTCGGGCCATATCTTTGATTGACAAGTTGCTCACCTCTGCGGCTACGTCGACTTGTGGTAAAAGCTGGACCTTCGTGTCTGCAATCAACTCGTCGCATGCTGCAACAGCCTGTGGCACAGCCTGTGGCATGTCACGTGGTTCAGAAATGGGTCGGCTGATGGCGCAGTGGGTGGCGCAGAGCCGTTCGTGCCCTCGCAAGGACAGGCCAAGGCCTGTCAACCCCAAAGGCCAACATGTGTCCGCAGTGTCGGCAGACCGTTCGGGCACACGGCCTCATTCAGCGCTTATGATGCTGCCAGATGCCTCTATAAAAGCTTCTTCAAAGAAGCCAGTTCGGGCCAAGATGCTTCCCTCTCGATCTAGCGCAACAACAACCTACTCTGAAAGGCCTAAACACTGTACCCCTCAATCACGACATGAAACCCCGCCGACCCCATAGACCCAAACCACCTAAACTCCTAGACACCTAACCACTTAGCCACTAAACGTCAGACATTGCAAACACACAAAGCTTTCATGCCCGACCCGCAAGCCCCAACCCCCAAACACATCTTTCAACATCTTCAATAAGACCTGATTTCTCAAAAGACGCTCTTAACCCTCTGAAGCCCCTTCGTCGTGCCTGGTGCCCGATCCATCCAGTCCTGGAAGCCAGAGGCATAGTAGACCGAGGGAGGTTTGCAATGCCACACTCTCAATGAGCCATAGTGAGAGTCTGAGATGTCTTAGTCTTAGGCAGTTTTTGCGCGTCTTTGCACGTTTAGCCACCCCTCTGCTACATGACCCTGTGCTCTTCATTGCTCTGCATGTTCAGCTTTTGGCCTCCTGGACCTGGCGCCGGTTTTGCCGCGAGCGGCGGCCGTCCGCGAGGCCTGGCCAATGGGACCTTCAAGCCTCGGGTGCCTGGTCCTTCTCGTGGCTCAGTTATTGCTGGCTGCCAGGAACATTAGTAACTGAGCACATCGCCCTGAATGTATCTGATGGTCTCTGACATAGACAGGCCGGCATGGCTCTTGTCCTCCCCCATGTCGCTGGTGTACTGGGGCGGCGGTGGCCTAGGGACCACATATGGCAGATGAACTAACGAAGTGTCCTGGGACCCCATCTTTTGCCAGTTTGGATTCCTGCACACTGCAAAGTCAAGGCCGATGCCCATAGTCGCTAGTGGTCGCTTCTTCGGGATGTGCCATCGTTTCCTCGCTCGTCTTGAAAGCGGCAAGGCGTGGGAATGATCAAAAAGCCCTCAATCAATGATACTAGTCAAGTGAGATGACGTCGAAGAATACTCCGAGGTGACGACCTCCCATGGCAGCCTGTATTGGTGCGTCCTCAAGGGTCCGGCTCTCAACCACACTTTTCAAGAAGCATCCTGCAACAACTGCATCCATCTTGGTCGTGCCTGCGATCGCCAGGTACTGGCTGATGAGACGGATGAGACTGGTGCGGCTGTTGGTGCGCTTGGTGCGGATGACGCCTCGGACCAACACGGGTGGGCCGAACAAGGCTGTGTGAGCAAAGGAATTTACCCTTCACCAACACCTATCCTTGATAGCTCGACCCACAAGTTTCAAGAATTTCAATCATGCAGAATCTTGCGAAGCGTCGTCGGACTCCATCTTTTGGCGGTTTGGATTCATGCGCACTGCAAAGTCAAGGCCGATGCCCATAGTCGCTGGTGGACGCTTCTTCGGGATGTGCCATCGTTTCCTCGCACGTCTTGAAAGCGGCAAGGCGTGGGAATGATCAGAAAGCCCTCAATCAATGATACTGTCAATGATACTAGTGAAGTGAGATGACATCGAAGAATACTCCGAGGTGACGACCTCCCATGGCAGCCTGTATTGGTGCGTCCTCAAGGGTCCGGCTCTCAACCACACTTTTCAAGAAGCATCCTGCAACAACTGCATCCATCTTGGTCGTGCCTGCGATCGCCAGGTACTGGCTGATGAGACGGATGAGACTGGTGCGGCTGTTGGTGCGCTTGGTGCGGATGACGCCTCGGACGAATGCGTAGGTGAACGCAAGGCTGCACAATGAATGGATGAAAACACTGCCTTAGAATGCCCGGCGGCTGGTTTGTGTGTGTCAGTGCCAACACGGGGCTATAGAGCCATCAGGCAACTCTCAGGAACTCTCAGGCTGTGCAGAAACAGCCTCCAACTGTCGGGAACTGTTCGGAACCGTCGGAAGTATTTTAAGTGTCCAGCTAGTTTTCAAAGCCCAATGGCCACTTACGATTTAAGTTTTGATTTGAGTTTCACATTTGAAAACTCAAGGACAGACACCCTCCATTTAACAGACCGCCAGCCGCTCTAAGCAGTGCTGTCTTGCGCCATAGGATCCTGGCCCAGCCGGAAAACTGGCACTTCCGCCACCTTCCCCCTGCTGCCTTGGAGGTGCAAATAATGGCTTCATGACACGCCTAGCGCCGCACTGCTCGAAAGGCATCAGCAAACCTCCCTGGCCGGGACCAGGAGCCGGGCATGAGCTGGGAAAGCAACTGCTCCAGGCGCATCTGTTGCTCGTAGTGCCAAGATGGAGTTGCCGAGGCCTTGCCGGCGCTGTCTACATCGGGAAACGAGAAAAAACATCCCTGGATCTCGTAGCCGCCCTTTTTGGAAATCTCTGCAGAATTAAGGGGGGGCGACGCCTCAAACCTAGTAGCCCTAAAGCTTGAAACCTGCTCTATGACTGAGCCAGCAAGCTACAGGGATAGGCTGTTTGGATAAGAACCCCCCTAAGGTTTCGGGTTTTTGGGGGTCTTCATACTGGGGGCCTTTCATATTAGGGGAAGGAATAAACATTAATAGGCTGTTCTCCTTAAGCTGCACTGGCAATCCCGCCTCTTGCGGCGGCGGCTGCATCATTGGCACATTCTCGAAGCCACGCGGGCCGGTGGCCTGGTGCAACAAAAACACTTTGTGGCGAGATCCTGCCCCTTCTGAAAAGTAGCGCAAACATACTAGCACACAACGAAACAACACAAACATTGAATCGCGTACCTGTGCAGCTCGCGCCGCTGACTGCGATGATCGCTCGGCCATCCGCTCTGCTGGCAACCGCTCGGCAGGCATGCGCTCTGCTGGCATGCGCTCGGCAGGCATCCGCTCGGCAGGCATCCGCTCGGCAGGCATCCGCTCGGCAGGCATCCGTTCGGCAGGCATCCGCTCTGCTGGCATCCGCTCTGCTGGTATCCTCTCGGCAGGCATCCTCTCGGCAGGCATCCTCTCGGCGGGCATGCGCTCAGCGGGCATCCGTTCGGCGGGCATCCGTTCAGCAGGCGTGCGCTCTGCTGGTGTCCTTTCGGATGTCCGTTCGACCGGTGGCGCCCGCTCTGGCAACGACCGCTCCGCCTGCGACGTGGACATTGCCGGCACCTTGGCACGTTACGAGGACAATTCAGACTCAAAGTGCAACGTATGGTTTGTAAAAAACTCACACGTTTTCTTTTGGGGGATGTGTGCCATGCTTGGATTCTGCAGTCAAGTGCGTAACGCGGCAACGTGCTACAGTACATGTTCGATGAAACCTAGTTTTGAGCTTGTACCTTTCCGGCTTTGGCTGGCTCTGGTTGAGTGGTCTCGAAGGCAATGTCTTCGCACTGCTGCGTTAAAATGAGCAATGCTAAGAAACTCTGACCCCTTGAGACCCCGGAGGTCATGTGATTCTCCGGACATCTCAGGGAGTGATGGGGAGAGGAGAGAGGGATGGAGGCCGCCTGCACAAGGAATTGGATACCACGTCAATCAGCTCACATGAATCTGCACATTCAGACCATCAAGGTAAGCTCATCGCAGAGCCACTCGATTCAGGCCTGGCGCTTTCTGCTGTTCCAGCACATGCAATGCCGTGCAAGGATGCAAGGATTTTGCACATGATCAGGGGAGCTCAACAGGCTGTGAAGAGCTAGCAAGAGGGCACGGTACTTGCCTCACACCACGCGACTGCGTTTGCGAAGGAGGCCGCAGAGATCTTGGAAGCTTGATGCCCTGCAAGCAGTTTCCATTTGCTCCGATAGGTCTACAAAGCAAGCCTGTGCAGCCCGCAGAGATTCTTCCCCAGAGTGCAGGTTTTGCAGGCTGCATCTTTTTCCTTTCTCTCCTACCATGCACATCTGGCACACCATGAAAGGCCTCAAACCAGGGCATCCGCAGCATTTCCCGGGCGCTTAGGCGCCGCCGGGGCTCCATAACAAGGATGCCCTGCAAGAGCAGAATGGACTGCTTCGAAATGGCTCCAGGGCTTTAACACAGTCATCGCCATGGGTTCTTCAAGCTGAGACAGCAAGAGCATCATAAGCGCAAGTTGCTGGTGTTTGTGGCCTAGCTAGCTCTCAGTCGCCCCCTACCAGTTCTGCCAGTGCAAGGTCCTTCAGCAGCTGCATCTGCAGCTTCGGCATCCGTCGTAAGTAACGCTTCTCCAGCGTCTCTGGACGGCTCACATCCGGGAACTGCCAGCAGAAACAACATGCGCGAGTGTACTCTCAAAATCGCATGCATGAAGGACACCACAGCGATTGCCCTGATGCTCTGTAGCTGTAGCTGAGAATGGTGAACAAGTCACCCAGCAGAGAACCACGAGAACCACCGACTCGCCGGCCTGGATGCCCAAAAACCGCGGATTTCTGAGGAACATCTCCATGTGCTCGGGGGTAAGCGGCCCCAGCACCTCAGAGCCCAAAAGCAAACTGCAAAACCAGGAACTCTCTGGCGAGAGGAAAGAGCCCAACCCGGGCCCTCAAGTTGAAAACCTTGCGAAAAACGAAAGAAAGGGGCCATTTTGCGTGCCAGATTCGGGGGGTAGGGGGGGGGGGCATGTCCCATGGCCCAGAGATGCTCCGAGCTCTGGGCTTTCTGAATGACGAAGAGCTGATCGACCTTTTCACATCCACAAGATGTCCCAAAGGATGTCCCTAGGTGACCCGGCACGTGTTTTGTAATCCGAAAGGCCTTTGCTAAGAAACACGTGCACGTCATACACGTGCCTCGGACTCTCCGGCGAAAAGTGGTTGGCCATCAGTGAGTTCACCTTGAGCCAGGATCTGAACGGTGAAGCCGCACCGAGCTCTTCTCCACAACAGAAAAATAGAAAAGCGCCCTTGCTCACGATCGACAAGGTCCCGGGCCCATGATGCAGCCAACAGCCCAAATATCTACATCCTTCCAGGTCAGCCAAGTGCATGCTCGCCGCTGAGATTGGGCCTACAATGAAGGGGAACTTCGGTCCAGATCTTACTGGTACAACTTTTCCTGCAACGCAGGAGGTGGCAATCATGCCTGTTGTAAGTGATTGCAGATTGGAAAGTTGATACTCCTGTCTCCACCCTGGCAGCATGCCTAAACTGCTACAAATATCAACCATTGACCAGGCCACGCGGTCCTTTCCGTAATGTGTGAAACCTAGAAGGAGCTCTGGCGCGCGGTACCATCGAGTTGCAACGTAGTCCTCAGGTGCTGCAGGCAAGTTACATCACAGCATCCTTGGGCTCAAGAAGCGTGCCCAGTCGACATTCGCATGTTGAGCTATGTCTTGATCCGCAAGAAGCTTGGGCAACTGAAGGGAACATGAAGCCAAGCTTGATGCACGCTCTGCTGAGCTGGTGGCAGTGAGTGGGGTGTCCGCGCCTTGGGGCCACAGAGGCCTAAATCAACCGCCCCCCACATTCGCCTGAAGACCGTCCGATACCTGCTGCCAGAAACGGCACTCCGCATGCCTCGGAACAAGGCCTGATTGGGCCTGAGACTCTGAGACTCCGGCTCATTGTCCGAGCAAACCCGAAGTCGCAAAGCCGCAGTGCATTATCCGCAGGGTTAACTGGGCAGAGAAGTCTATGAGGGATCCTCTGAAGGCGAGGCTTTTCAAGGTCTATGAGGTCCATCTAAGGAGCTTCGGAAGTTCCGGAAGCCTTTCATGGGCAGTATGGAAGTTTGGAGTTTGGAAAGTGATGGGGGTTCTTGAGTTGCTGCCGCACTTCTCATCATACAAGCAACCACTCTGAATGCTCCATGCCCAAACCTTGCTTAGGAGCTGTCCTCCTTGATGCTTCAAACCAGTATACATGAAAGCATTTCTAATTTCGGCCTTTGCCCGCAAATGGAACTGGTCATCATTCTGTCACATAACAGAAAACTCAGTGAAAGCCTCTTCAACTGTCAACTCGGCTCAAACCCACAAGCTGACTGACAGCAAGCCGGCCCCCACTCCCGAGATGCGCTTGGTTCTTGGGCTCCACATTCGTGATCAGGAACAGGCAAGCAGGCAGCAAACGCTCGTAAATGCCCAAGACTTCGACTCAACAAGTTTTCGGGCTTGATGTCACGGTGAATGACCTCAGATTGCTGATGCTTCGGGCAAATCAGCAAGCACCCAAGGCATGTGCTTCATGGCTTTCACCAACGTTGAGGACGCCACATCATGCCGATGACAGTACTCAATGGCACGAGCCTCACTCCAAGCCAAAGCCAGCTAGGAGCTGCCAGTGCTACTCTCTGATCTCTCTGAGGCCCATGGCATGCACGAGCATGCACACTAGCCACATCGTCCAGCAGCTCCCACTTCACACCCGCGAGGCCCCCGCCAACTGACAAGTCAGGACCTCGGTCTCTGAAGTGCGCGACATTCGGCTTCCACACACTCGGCGCGACTATTCCTACTGAGAGGTTTAGGGATGAGGGCTATGCTTTCGGGTTTACGGTTTTCCCGTTGCCCCCCGCGGTTCATGGCGTAGTTACGGCTTTGGGTTTTGGGTTGGTGTCCCGGTCCCCACCCCCCACCCCCCCGCCCAACCGAACCACAGAGGGGAGAGGCCTGAACCGAAACCCTGAAACGAAACCTTGAACATAACCCGCACCCTAAACATCCCTAAACCCTAAATCTTAAACCCAGCATGAAGCACAGACCACAATCATAGCTGCTGGCCAAGACACGCGAACTGTTTCCGTGTCCACACCATTTGGATTGGCCTTCTCACACGTGCCCAAGACGAACATGCTTCAATGCAACATGTTGCTGGAGTAACCGCCCCGACAGAATCCCACAGAGTATCCCAGCACAGACCCCCAGGTGCAGATGAGCTATATCGTGCCCGTCTAAGGGCGCAGGTTTTTTGGGTGGGGATGCTCGCACTAAATATTTGGTAATGAGCCTTCGTTGTCCCAGCACTTTGTCTCGGAAAACCTCGTAGGTTTGAGCAAGTTCGGTTTCTTGTACATCCTCCTTCTTTGATCCTGATCTGCTCTTGATCCCAAACTGCACTTTGTTGATGCTTGTCCCCAATTCCAGCCTCTAAAATGTCGAGCATGCTTTTCTCCACGAATTCGAAGACGAGGTAGAGCTTCCCCCTGCGTCGAAAAGCCTCCGACAGTAAGCTGCTTGACGGACCAGAACTCGAACCTAAGAACAAGGCACGACCATGGCACACCCTTGCTGCAGTGCACCTCCTTCAGCTGCACAATGTTTTCGTGCCGCATAATGCGAAGGATCTTCACCTGCCAGCGCTGAAACTCACAAGCCAGGCGGCCAGGACGTGGAAAGCATGGCCCAGCATGGGACCGGCACATCGCTTGGCCGCAGACTACAACACATCTGCGTAAAGCTACGTCCGCGGCGGCCAACAACATCAAGAAGGCTTGCTCCCAACTTCAGCTTGCAGCGGCAACTGCTTCAAAGAACAGGACGGTATTTGATGATGTTGCCCCGAGGCCCAGCATAAGTAACAGCATTCCCGAGAAGCCTCTCTCAGCGTGGTCTTTCGGACTACCTCATCCTCTTCACTCTCCTTGAACCTCAGTTGGCTTCTTTGCTTCTTTCGGCCATGCAGCGGAAGGTTCGTACGCTCACAATGCCACTATGTCCACGATGCCCTTATGCTGTCTGTGGGGTGGACTTCTTGATGGCCACCACTTCATTGGTGTCCTGCCCACCCGGAAATTACAGTAGAGGGGCACCGCTCACACTCTCTGGCGTTGTCGTCAGATATCACCAAACCGACACGCATGCTACCGTACTGCTAGCCTGTCCTTGTTTTTGCACTTCAATACTACGCCGTAGGCCCCCTCGCCCACGACGCCAAGAACATCGTACTTGTTCATGGAACCTGCCCTTGGTGCAAACGTTTGCAGAGGGACACTTGGTGGCACACGAGTTCCGGCAGAGGGCCGCGCTTGTTGGCCGAAGGTGCATCTGACTTCACCTTGTGCTTCTTCTCCGTGGCTGGGCCGACACCTGACTGAACCGTTTCTATAAAAACTGTGTTTATAAAAAACATGTTTTATAAAAAACACATAAAGTAGCACAATACTCATCCACACGCTGTCTCAAGCAGAGAGGGCCTCGGCTTCTCTCCTCGGTCACTTCATGATCCATAACTTTCGAGCTTGCAAGAAGCATGGGCCACAAAGGCACGGTCTTGAAAAGGAATGCAGCCAAGACTCTTCCCTAAAGGGTGAAGAGGCTCAGAGAGAGCTGTGCACAGTCTGCACAGCTCATGAAAACTACGGCCCCCCAATTTCCCGTCTCCCCTCCTACACTCCTGTTGATCCGAGTCGCCGAACAAGTTGTCGCTCGCATCCCTCTTCGCAGTCTGTGACAGTGGTTTCATTTTTTGTTCATGAAAGTGTGGCAGCACATCAAAACAGTGTTTGAATGCAGAGTTTGATCGACAAGTGAAGTGGGCTCTTGGTGAAACATCTCAGACTACGCGGGTAGACGAAAAAGCAGCCGCACTTCAGGGCAGAGGGTGTTCATGCTCTACTCGATAGTATGTGACATTTGTCACTCCTGGCGACTGGGCAGACAGTCTCCCGATAGCAAGCGGTGCGAACCAGAGTCTTGGCAATTTCAGAAAGATGAGGGCGTGGGTGCTTGGCTGTTGTGGACGTGTTACACTTCGAATCTTCCTCGAGGATTGGATTGGTTTTACCTGGTATGGTGCTCTGAAATGCCCTCTGAAATTCAACACAGCGGGAGCCCGCTGCTGGAGCACCGCACGTCAAGCACGCTCAAAGGCCGCAACGTTCCAAGCGCTCCAGCCTGGCCAAGTTGACCTGACAGCAAAGGGGGAAAGGGTCTCGGAGGAGCGGTGTTGAAAGCAGCGACAACCATCCAATCCAAGAAACCTGTAACATTTTGTTTGCATCTCGCATCTCTCTGCTTCGGCCTGGAAGTCAAGTCAGCTGTCGTGAAAATCCAGTCAAATCCTGTCAATATCTGAATCTAGTCATGCACCTGAGGCTTTGCCATGGGGCCGATGAGGTGGTCCTTAATTCTTCACTTCGGATGCGAATCCACCAGTCAGATACGAGCGAAACACCGATGCTGAAGTGATCTGAAGTGCGCACCACGATCTCTTGCAGCCGGTAGTGGTGAGGCTGTAACTGGCCAGAAATCCTCGCTGGACCCACTCCCCACTCGCACTTGGGATCAGGGCCCAGTTGGGTCAAGTGCGAGAACGAAGGTGGCCGCCTAAACCATCTGAACGCTAGCATGTTGCCAACTAATTTCCATGGCGACTCCTCAGTAAGAGGTGCTTCCGTCGACTAATCTCAGCCGAACTCGTCACACCAAACTCCCGGAACTCATCTAGATGCCGGCCTTCCCAGACAGGAGCTCCACATCGCCTTTCCACAGGGCGGTTCGATGTTGTTAACTGAGTTCGAAGTGTTCGAACGGGCCTTTCAGAGGCACGGCTCCGACGTCCCATGTAGGCTCCGAGTCGAGGAGCGAGGCCTCCTGGGAAAAGCGGCAGAAGAAGGGAGAGCTCTTCGCTGCATCCTCTTGGAATTATGGTACAGTAGTGGTCTCTGCTCTGCTCACCTGCTTGACTGTTCAACTAAACGGACCGCAGTTTTTGCCTACTCAAACCAAGCATGCCCTTCTGACTTATGGGGAGGGCCCTGTCGCTTTGCATGAACCTGTTGACAGGGCAGGGTGCCTTCGTTGCTAGGCGGACAGATGGGAGGTCCTAAGGGCGTTCCCCCAATGTTCCAATTGGCCGAGTCTCCGATACAATCAACGGAGTGAAAGCGGGTGAGGAGAAGCCTTTCTGCCTCAAGCGTTCACCCAGCTGCAGCTCAAATGAGGAATTCTGGTAGCCAAAACCTCAAACTCTTAGCCTAACTTCCCTGCTTCTGGGATGAGTTCGAGGCATGGGAGTGTGTGTTCACACGTGCACCGCCCTATATACAAGTCTTGAGTATTGATTCTCCGTCCCTCAATCCGGCCAAGCCACTTAACGACAGGGGCAGCGGCAGGGGCTCCTTAGATTGCGACTTGCTGGGTGCTCCAATGTGTCGTTAAGCCATTACGCGGCCACACACACACACACACACCCCTGCTTCGTGTCGCCGAGGTGCCTTCTGACTCCGCACTGGGACCGAGGATGCCACGGTAGAGGTGGCCTCGTCACTCACATCTCCACACTTCCCGCTGGCGGTTCAAAGCTGCTTCAAAGCTGTGCAGGCCCAGGCACGGAGCCGCTCCTCCTCCGCAGCTTCCTTGCCTGCGACAACTGCGGCAGATTGGAGGAAGCAGCCTTCCAAACCCCCCTTCCACCCCCCCCCTTCCACTCCCCTAGCACCCCGCGTCGGAATCACATCTGCAGGCAAGAGGCGCCGCATCTCCTCGCGCAGGGCTGCCAGCTCTCGGCCTGAGCCCGAGGTGTTTTCTTGAGTGGCGTGGTGCTTCTGAGCATCTGTGAACTTCAGTTGTGCTTTGGAAGCGCAAAGGCACAGGGTCCCAAGCCGACCTTCTCTGAGATCAACCGCCGCTCCTCCCAAACGGTCGTCAGCGGCAAAACTGAGACAAAAACATACAAAAACTGCTGCTAACAATCTAGCTGCTGTTCAAGCAAAAGCAATCAGGTAAGACTCATGCCACGCTCTGATGAGTGACATGTCTGTTGTATGGGTTGTGTATATGTATTTGAAGTTATTTGGAATTCAATGTACCATAATATCCGTGCTGGTTTGTTTGCCAGGAAAGTTGAATGATGGTCGGTGGGCAGATTGCCAGTCAGCAGTGAAAATACGAAACCCTATAAAAAAGGCAGACCTGGGTTGAAATGTTCTTTTGCTTTGATACTGCATTCAGTTAAGATGTTTCGGATGAAACCATCAAAATTCAGATACTGATCGATCAAGTGCTAATTTGATTCATGCAACCAACTCGATCTCCGATGCAGCGCTTGCGGGGCTAACGACATCAATCTTCACGGATCCGTCGCACCTGCTCCTCCCGCGCATCACGGGCCAAGTTGTCCAGCCTGAGGGCACGTGGGAATACAGGATGAGGAACGACATGCTCTCGGCTCTTGTGCTTCTAGTCTCACGATGAATATTCTTTCAACGTGTGGCTTGACTATTGTTCTTTATGACAAGCCCACCCGCAGCAGCGCGCCGACCATCGCCAAAGCGTTTCTTTGCCGGCACGGCTACGGCCCACACTCTGAGTCACGCAGAGTCACTTGTGGGCCAGGCTGGGGCCCCATGCTGGCCCTGGCAGCGCGCCTGCCGCAGCTGGGCCTCCCGTCGCAAAGCCTGAAGGCGCAGAAAATTCGGACTTTGTCAGTACACGCAGTGTAAACTTTCAGTGTAAACATTGTAAAATGAAAATTGTAAATTGTAAACCCATGTTAATATGAACACCCGTAAACTAGACCCTGGACCCCAAGCCCCTAAACCATCCGAACCTTGCACCTTCGCCATTACTGCCATCAAGGCAAGAGGAGCAAGGAGATCGGGAGACCTCTGAACCCTGAAACCTCATGGCACGTGCGTGGAACACACGGGCCCCAAACCCTCCTCTGTTTGCCCCCAGCCCGTCTGCAAAGTGCAGCGTGCAGTTCTTTGAAGCCCTGCCTCCAATGAATGTTCGGCCTGCGAGGCCTCCTCCAAAGCACACGGAGGTGTCCCACAGCACCAGTTGTATCACTCTGTCATGCAAAGCAATGGAGAAGAATGGACCCTGTTATCATCCAGACCCCCTCCTCTCGGCTTCGCTGCCAGAAGCTAGTGTTCGTCTGCAAGACCTCAACAAAAAGCAGGCGGGCCCTGTGAGCTGCGCTATGCTGCTCAAGCTGCGTCCACTCGGAGCCGTGCTGATAGGCCCACCCGCTTCAGAACCGAGACCTCTGAGGCCTCCTGACCTGCCCCAAACATAGCTACAAGCTGCACGAAGGCGCGAATTCAGGCAAGGTTCCGGGAAGCCTTCGGGAGTCAGGTCATCTTCGGCTTTTTCAGGCTCAAGCATGCCGCGCACACCCGGTGCTTCAACTGCTTGAGCCCAGCGGCGCGGTATAAGGTCGACCCGTTTGCAGCTTCTCAGGTCCGCTGGGACTATTTGACTGTGTGCGACATTGTTCAACTTTTTAGTTCAAAATGAGCACGGCTCTGCATTGTGCCAGGCAACGTGCAAATATTTGTCTTCTCCACTTGCAATGCATCTGCTGAAAGTCGGACACTGCACTTCACCGTGGCCAGCACAAGGGCCAGCCTCGGTCTCGTGGGACCATTGTTTTAAACGCCAACACAATGCGCAGAGAGAAGTTGCTTCTGGGATCTTCTGGGCTTCTGGGTCCCTCAGCTCGGGCGTGGGCAGCAGCACCTGGCCTCAGCGGTGTCAGCAGTGGCATGGATGTTGCCAAGCGCAACTGTTACCAGCAAACATGAGACACATGGCCGATGCAGGCCAAGGTACAGAGAAAGTTACGCTGCTCGTGCTGCGGGAATGTGGAGCTGCTCACCTCTTCTAGTTCGTCTCGCACTCGCAACAAACCCTTCCTTGACACATGGTCCCGGAGTCCCATCCTCTCATATCCTCCCACCTTTCATCTCATGGCCACCGAAAGCAGCATAGGCATAGTAGAGATATGCACAGATCCATCAAAGACTATTCTTCAGGTCACACCCCGGACCCCCAGCCTGCACGTCCGCCGCCAGCATGGTGGCGCCTAGAAATGTTTGTTTCATGCTCACGGCCACTTGTTATCACCGGCTACAAAAAGTATCTTCAGCAGCTCAAGGTTTTTCGACGCTCCTCCAGCAGCACGGTGGAGGGGCTGGGCGGGCTGGCCTCGGCCACTCGGATGTGCAGCTTTTAGAGGTTTAGAGGTTTAGGGTTTAGTGTTTAGGGTTTAGGGTTTAGGGACTAAAGCAGGATGACTCCAGGATGACTGCCAAGGGGCTTCCACCTGCAACCTCATCGTGCAGGGAGCCATCAGCAGCGATGACGACAGACCTGTCATATCTCTCAGCAGCGCTGCACCCCCTTCTTGGACAAGGCCCGCCTTGCGTCACTCCTTGCAGCTTCTATGCCGGATGCGCATCCGACATCTGCACCTGCAGCAACTAGCAGCGGTCCCTCGCGCAGCAGTCCATGCGACTGCTGAACCGAACTATCTCGCGCAAGTGGCAGCGCAAGCATTCAGCCTGCCAGCAGCCATCCCGCCGTCCAGGCTTGAGTGAAACGCACCATACGGCAAACACCTACTCACCTCCGGCTCACATATCCGCGTGCAAAGCTTTTTCACATCCTGTGCTGCTCAAGGGAGTCTAGAGTCTCACTAGAATCTAAACATGTCTAAGCATGCCGAAGGCACTTGACTAGGAACTCAGCATGTGATGTGCAACAAAAGCAAATCTCGAGCAACGAGCGGGAAAATACATCCCTACAGGAAGTCTGCTAAAGATCTCAAACGGAAGTGACTTCGGAGGGCTGTTGCTGGGCATTCGATGCAGAATACTTCGATGGGCTGGGAGGACAAGAAGCCATGTCCGAGAAGTTTACAACCGATCCCACCGCTGCAAGATTCAGAGGCCTGATGCGATCTGAAAAGTAGGGTTTAGGGTTTAGGGTTTAAGGTTAGAGTTTAGCGATCTTCGGGTGCTTGCCGCAATAAGAAGATCTGTTGGAACCTTCGCAAACGTAAGGAGGTCTGCGAGACCACCCTTGATGTCGCAATGTCTCTGCCCGGCAGAGACAAGAGACTTGAGACGCGGGAATGGCGGTTACCAAGGAAGCCTGGCAGCTGCAGGGTTTCAGCCCAGGAGAAGCTCAATGCTTGCACTAAACCTCTAGGCCAAAGCAGCGTATCGCCACGATGCCCATGAGCATCCGGTGGCACACTTTAAGGCGAACGGGCTTCTGAGGACGTTTCCATGCCATGTCGGCGCAGTGTTGAAGCCATGTCGGGGGCACCATGGGGCCCATGTCAGCGGACGTAGGTCTTTCCCTGCTGTGCAACTTTCACCTTCACATCTCGCCCGGTTCCGGCTTTTGTGCGGTTCTGCCATGTCGGCGGGGTTCTCCTTCCCCCTGAATGCACGACGGAGGATTTGGCCTACACCAAAGCTCAAGCGCAACCCAGCTGCACTGACTTTCCGAAACTGAAGCGTGAGATCAAGCATCCACACTCGAACTGGACACGCTTTCGGCCTCGGTTGTACATACGAAGCAAGTATTCAGAAATCCTCGATGCTGTTCTCGCGGAGATCGTACGAGAAAGGAAATAGATCAGTGCCCAAAACCGATGCGTGTGCTCCTTGAATGGTGCGTTAAAGTGTTTTTCATGTCGGACTTAGGTACAGATCGAAAAATTTGTCTCCTTAAGTTCTAGGTACAGTACAAAAAGACTGACTGCCCAATTTATGTCGACTGCTCGACAGCCAGCTAGCTGATTGCAATGGCAGTGCCACAAGCAAAGCACCTTTTGCCTGAAATGATCGAATGCTTCGACTCCGTGCTCTTAACCTTCTGCTTAACAGCTGGCGCTCGAAACAGCCAGTCCTCGATGAGGACATAATCGAGATCTTCCAGCTGGTCCAGCATTTCCAGTGATGCCTCGACAGTGTTGACTATTGGCTTGCCTTTGGAATTGAAGCTTGTGTTGATGAGCGCGGCAAGGCCGGTCAGCTTTCCAACTGCCAAAAGCAGCGCGTGGACCCAAGGCTCATCTTCGCGGCTTACGGATTGGTGCCTCGCTGTGCCATCAAAGTGGGCGATAGCTGGGAACCGTTCCCGGACTTCATCACGCACCTTCGGGGCAAACTCCATGTAGGCAGAGTTGTACTTGAAGCCAAAGACTTCCTCCAGAGCCTCCTCGGCAATCATGGGTGCCACGGGCCGGTACCACTGCCGAAATTTCAGACGGTTCATGCGATCGCGCATGTCCTGCGAGTCTGGCACTGCCAGCAGAGAGCGGTGTCCCAACGCACGCGGCCCAAACTCCTGCCTGCCCCGCACAACTGCTATGATCGGTTTCTTGTGCTTCGGTTTGTTGCCGGTCCATGCTGGTCCGCCGGCCAGAAGCTCTGCCAGGTAGTCCACGCCGCCAAGTTGCGAGAGGCTGCGGGCCCCGCGCGCCTCTGCTTCTTTCAGGAGTTTATCAAGGTCCCACAGCCGGAAGCCCAGATACTGTAGAGGCTGACGTGGACCCATAGGTGGTGCTACAGCCCAGATGGCCCCGACAGTCAGTCCTGAGTCGTTGGGAGCCGGGGGAACATACACATCGCGTGGCTTCGTCAAGTCTGGCTGCGTTGATCTGAGTTCCGTCAATGTGTCGCGCACGAGCTGATTGGCCACCACGTTGAGTGCACAACCTCCCGTAAGAACGATCCCTTCCACACTGATACTCTTCGACTGCAGTTCGCGGAGGTAGTCTTGGACAATCGGTTGCACGATACGCTCAAACTCGGCTTGAATCGTGGCTGCAAGCACGCGCTGGCTCTCGATTCCTTCGCAGACTTTGCTGAGAAAAGCTCGCGGAACTGAATCCGACCCAAACGCCCAGCGGTGGAAGTACTCGCGGACCCAGCGTCCGATGTCTTCGGAGGGCTCCGCCAGGCCGGAATATCCCATCAACTTGCCCGCAAAGGTCACAAATGTGGCAACTGAGAAGAACATGTCAAACTCAACCCAGTCGCCATCCGAGTCACGCTCCGCTATCGCCTCACACAGCATCTTTTGCATGTCAGGATATCCATTCACCTCCTGCAGGAAGCTGGCAAGCTTGTAATATCCCACGCCCAAGTTCAGCGGTTTTCTGCCAATGCGATGAAGCTCAAAGCCTCTTCCGAGAAACGCAGTGAAGACGCCATCATTGCCACCGCCATCATAGGACAGTACAAACGCTGAGCGAAATGGCGAGGCAAAGTATCCCATCAACGCGTGAGCCTCATGATGATTGACATTCCGCCACTCCCGAACATGAAAGAATCTCTCTACTATGCGTGGCAGCTGCGCCCGCTGCACCGGTACATCGCCCCCAAAATTCACCATGATGCCATAGTCGAAACTTGTCGGGCAGGGCCCCTGTTCGCACTCGCAGTGCTCACTTACCGTCTCAACGGCCCTGTGCCAGTCAACGTGAAAATGATCGACTTTTGGTATAAAGTACCGATTCTCAAACAATCTTTCTAACTCCAACACGCACTGGATCCTGCCACCCTTGCCGATGGCTATGGAGCCATCATGCCCAGCATGCAAGGCAATCACCGTCTTCTCCTCCACATGCAGCGACTCGGGCAGGCTCAACTCTTCGTAGGGACGGCGCGTCTTGGGGGACCCAAGCTCAGAGCTACGTCCAGGATTTAAACGACGGGTCGAACGGCTCGCTTTAATGGACAAGCCAGTGGCGTTTGCAGTCCAGAGGCCCGGAGAGTCTCGACCCACCGGCAAGCCCACATCACACGGCGGATAAATCTCCGTATCGCAGAACTTCTCAAATTCTTGGCTTCCAGCCACCGCCGCGTGCCAGAGGAATGAGCAATACACAGTGCGAAACATGGCTGGCAGCAGAAGGCTCAAGTATGCTTAAAGTTCATTCAAGGTATGATCGGCATCTCCCTTACAGCCTGAGCCCGAGGACATTAGCTGCTTCAGCAGCGACAACGGTTTGGAGTTTGCTTCGATGCTTGTCGGGCTGCACAGGTCTTGCGAACAAAACGTTATAAAGAGCATCAGCAACTGTACTTAATTACTCCCGTACTTGCTGCACTTGCACAATATTCATAAGGAATGGGAACTACCGAATGTTCCAACGAACTCTTGGACCAAGCGGCTGTACCGAACCATGTACAGTGCGGTAGTGTCAGGAATACCAAGCCTGAAAAACTTAACAAGCACCATATCAGCGTGCTTCCTGGACAGCTTTGCGAACAACAGGCTTCTACTTGACCACAAGCAGAAAACCAAGTCAATGGTACAGAATACAGGCAAGTTGTAGGTCCTATGTAAAGACGGGGGCATGCCGGCATGCCGGCATGCCTTATCAGGCTCAGTTTCGGTGGCCGAAGACGTAGATATCCGTTATGAGAAGCTTACTAAAAATGGGGGAACGGACTCTCTCTGAAGTGACTTCGGAGGGTTGTTGCATCTGGCTGTCTCAAGCCCGGCAGCAACTACGTCCACTTTACTCTCGACAGAGAGAAGTGAGAAGCTGTAACATTTCTGCTCCGCATAGCATTCGATGCAGAATTCTTCAGTGGGGCGGGGAAGGGGTGCGGAGACATGGAAGTGGCAACACACGCAGAACGCCCACCTCGCGATTGACACATGTTAAAGTTGAAGTATGTTTCACGGGCATCGGGAGGTGTAGCCACTGCCACGGTTCACGACTTTGTACATAGACCCGAGCATTTTGCTTGAGTCTCTTCGCTTGTTCGCACACACAATCAACCTTATCGAAGTTCAACAGGCCTTGCTGGTGCAAGGGCTGGAAAGATGCTTTCAGGATCCATGGCTGCCTTCAGGCTTTTCAACGCGTCCATGCAGCCTGCATGACAGGATCCGACAGGCATGCTAGCGCATGTTGTTGGTCACTTGCTTTGCTTGTCATCAAAGACTCCTGGCCTGATTGAGCGGGGCCTTCCAAGCCTCCACCTGCCGCCTCTGCAGTCTTCTGCTTACGGCACTACGGAGCTTCTGCTTCCCTGCACAGCACAACAAAAAAACACAAACAAAAGCCTCCACCATGCGCCGCCAGCAGCTGAAGGCTTGGAGTGCACTGTCCCGGTCAAACCCTGACATGGATCCGATATGGATCCGATGCAGCTTCGTGGCCATGTGCCAAGCGCTACGCCAACTGCAACGCCAACCTGCCACGCAGGTGCCCAGATGCACCGTCAGCACGGCCCTTTCGGGAAAAGTCTGAGCCACGCCTCAACCAAGGAGAGAACTCGCGGGATGCGCCGTGTCTTCACAAGGGCGACTCGTTTTTCAGTCAGAGAGGCCCCCACTGAAGGAGAGGTAAGGCGCACCGGGGAGCCGCAGGTTCTGGTGTTCGGACACGGCAACCTGCACAAGCGGCATACTGCAGCACATACATTGGGACCTTTGCAGCAGTGTCAACCCTAGGGCCCGAGGGATACAACACACATGGTCATATGGGCCCTGTCAGCGGCAGGATCATTGCTAGTCGCTGTTTGCTCCAAACCCTGCTTGTACCTGCTGGCTTGGTTGTTGGGTGTCAGGTCTGAGTCAGGCGCTGGGCCACCAAAGAGACCGGGGACCTGAATGAGAATCTACTTGAGCGAGAAATCTCGCAGACCGAAGTGGCCCAGCTGTGTCTTTGTGTTGCTGCTCGTTCGGTCTTTGTCATAGCTGCGACCTCATTGTCATTCTGCTTGCGATTTTTTCTACTGAAGACTCCCATCTCAGCCTGGCTACCACATCTGCTCAGTGTTCTTGGCTTTGCCGCAGGCATCTTCCACTTCTGCATATGCTGAAAAGAGCATGGGCCTCAGCCGGAAAGCCCAAAACTCATGTAATTTGGTGTGCAGGGGAGCTGCTTTACCATTTGTGGCCCTGTGTGGCTTCTGAAGGCGGCGGCGGGACAGTCTACAACTACAAGGGCAACGTCAGCGAAACGGGCAGCATCCAGCAGCTCTGGAATGAGAAGGATCAGCCCAACATCATGACAGGCCTGGTCCCCAGCGCAGACATGGCGAACTTGCCGCAAGGCCGCAAGGTGGTAAGGTCACTTTCAAGGTGGAGCTCGGCGGGGAGCATTGGATGGAGACTCTGGAGGTGCAGTGACGTGCTTGCACGCCGTGCACAAGGCATGTTTTTGACATGAATGGCCCTTTCCTTGCCATAGCAAGTACTTGGAGCACAGGCATAGCTGGGTACACCGATCACAAAAACGAGCCTGGCAGTTTGCCAAAAGTCTCCAGACATGCTTCTCCTTCTCATCCCCCCACCAGGGGAACGTGGTAAACGAAGTGGGTTTGGAATGTGTGGGCAGGTTCGTGAAGCGCAGAAGCGATTCCCGAAGCGCGTCGCAGCTTCTGCTTGAAAGCATGCCCAGTGCCAAGCCGTGCGACATGAAGCTTTGGCGCATGATGGGTGCTAGCTGGGCTGGTGCATCCGGTTTGCAACCGCTGCAAGGCTAGAGTGCTATGCAGGTTTTTTCCGATGCTTTACCACCAATGTTTCCGCCCGACTTTCTGTACCACCCGTGGATTCCTCCATGCAGGGGCTCCATGAACTACACGTGGACGCGTTCAGACACCGCCAGCGTTGGCTCTTGGACCTACACCAACACCCGACAATGAAGGGTGAATCGCCGGCTGCTCATGGAAAGCTGCAAGCAGAGCCGTTGCCTGCTTGAGAGCCGGAATGACGCTCTCCATGGATGCCCAGGACACCATGGTCTCGATGTGATCCATGAGCACGTCATGATCAATGCCTCATGGCAGCGGCTGACCAGCAATCTCCACCATCAGAATCTCAACACGCGTGTCAGGCCGAACACTTGCGTGACCAGGCACCCACATCCCGAAAGTAGGGCAAGGCGCGGGTCAGCTGGGGCAGTAGCTTGCCTGTTCAGCTTGGATGTCCCTGCCCTGATGACTTGTGCACCCTTCAAGCTCTGGTCCTGACCCCCATGTGCCGGTGTGGAGTGCTGCAAGCTCCTGCCTGAGCTCGGCAAACATCGAAACGAGCAAAGGACTGACATGTGGATACCGCAGCCAGGTTGCAGCGCACACTTCTGGGCGTCCTTGTTTGCTGTCTACTTGCACTGTCTTGTCTGTCCTGCAACTAGGCCGTGTAAATTTAAGCACCCAGTCCACCACTTATGCATACTTATGCCACATGCGGGAAGCACGCCTCAAAGGCTGCAGCTGCACGTAGATGTTGATGCCAGTTGTTGATCATTCATGAACCAGGCCATGGCTGAGAAGTCTGAAACGAACATGCATCCAAGCATCCACCTCTTCACGAGAACCTTCCAAGACGATGTCTGCAGACGTAGCTTGATGCTGTTTGCACCTCACAGGCCTTTGAGGCCCAGACCCGCCATGTGCAAAGTAGTGCAAAGTGAGATTGCGGTGCACGTCGTGCATCTCCATGGCTAGCTGCAGACGTGGGGCTGTGTTGAAGTCTGGCCAGATGCTGCCACCAGATCCTTCACAAGTCAGTTAAGGGCAACATGGGGAAAAGACCCACATGGCTGCACAGAGATCACACCACCGATGGGTGCGTGGTCCAGCGCATGTGCCAGCGTCACTTGCTTCGCATCGACCAAGCCTATGGTGAAAGCGTGAGAACACTGGAAGCAACTTTTGGACATGCGACAAAAAGCGACAAGATCCGTCACACAAGCCCGAACATGCCATCAAGTAGCTGCACGAAGCAGGTCTCAGTGCAGCGGGCAGGCGAGCAACGTCTCGGGTAAAAAGCACCTGGGCTCAGCTACATCCAAAATATTATCCAACACCGCTGCCCGGGTTGCCCAGTTCCAAGCCATCACTGTGCAAAATAGGCGCTCCCCGTTCCCAGCTCGGAAATGTGACGTGCTCACCCCGCGTCAGCTCTGGTAGCTCGTGAACCCGAATGACAGCGGCCTGCACCAGAGCTGCAATGAGCCGTGGCTGCTTTAAACACGGGAAGCTGGCATGGCGCTATGCAAACAGCTATGTGATATCATCGGTGTGGTGCATCAAGGGGGCACCGTGATCACTCCCAGGCATCCGCGGCTCCCCAAGAGTAGTCCTGGCAGGCCATCCAGCAACATTCAACGTCCAGCACTTGGAGGTTCATGGTGCTTACTAACCAATAATAACTGTACTTCCAACCCACTTCTCAGCCCCTTAAGTGCCCTAAGATGGTTATGAGTACAGTTATAAGTACAGTTATACTTGGTTAACAAGTACCATGAACCTCCAAGCAATCATAGTGGCTGTGTTGCATCCGCTCCTTGCCTGGGAGTTCCAGGCCAGTGGATTTTCGACCGCAGCTGGAGATGCATCCTTTCACTTTGCTACTACCCTTGCACCTACACTCTGCCCGGTGCCTCTGGCATTCCTCATCACCGATCTAGGGCACCCCACCCAGGACGAGAATTCGAGGCATTGTACGGTTCTAGTCTGGGCTATTTCCGGCTTCTTCACCTTCTCTGGGATCTAGAATTCGCAGATCATGCTGTTCTCCTTTCCACTTCGCCATCACAACTCAATCGCCTCCTCCACCTGATGCAACATTTTGTGGCCCTTCGTGGCCTCTACCTCAATGAAGAAAAATGCAAACACCTTAGCATGAACACTATGCTTATTTCTCAGGTCACTTCAGCCATCTTCCACTCCAATCTTCCTCCTTCCTGCTCCTTCCTGGAAACTCACCCTTTACCGCTCCATCGTCCAAGCTATTCTCTCGCAACTCATACATCTGGATTCCAATGATAAGCAGATACGACGCACTTTCAAACGAAATCTTCTTTCTAACGCTGCGTTGATTGCTTCAATCAGTACCTTACCACGTGAGCATACGACTCTCGTCGCACTCAAACCCTTCTCAAGTCTATTCACTCCAGCGTTTGCAGCTTTTTGATCTACGCCGACACCCGACGAACGGGAGTATGATCGCACATTTCCGCGGATCGCTGCCTATCGCGATGCCTCCGGCCACAACAGGAGAGTACGCCCTCGCTTGCTTTGGAACGAGTCTTGTATCACCGAGGCTTTTCACAGACTCGACGCTATTCAGTCAGACGCGGCTCCATCCCACGTCAATCCGTTGATGTCTATTGATGTCTCCAATGCAGCTAAGGGCCGCAATCCCTGGCCTCCTAAAAGACCCAGATGATTCTTAGCTCCCAAGGCCTTAGATAGCGTAGCTGAAAGCGCCAGTCTCACCTTCTTAAACGCTCTGACATCGCATGAGTGGCTCCCTTTGACATGCTTTACTTCGTATTTCACAATCATATTGTTTCAATTGTTTCTTTCCGCTTTTGCCTTACAAGCTCATCGTTTTTCAGAGCTGTCGATTCTTATTGTTTTTCTTCAAGTCGGTGCTGATGGACACCTTGCAGCGTGTCTTTCGCAGTGCAAAAAAATATTGTTGGTGAAGAAATCTTGTAAAGGAAACACACTGTATCTGTGGGTAGCAAGCTCCTCTTTGACCGGCGCACGTAGCATCGGGCCCATCGTACCTTGCGCAAGCTCTCTCAACAGTCGCAAGAACAGAAGGCCCTCATCCCTAACATGTCAGCGCATAGTTTTGGTGAAAATCACAGCATCCTGGCAAAGGCTAGTGGACTTGGGAGCACTTCAAGTGCCCCCCATGCTGCCAAAGCAAGCCAGATGATGTCGCGACGCGAACCTGCCGATGGTTGTTGCGGTAATCAGGAAAGCAACACGGATGAGCAAACTCGCCTCCACTAGCATCTTCTGTATGTCACCTGGCCATTCGTGCATTTGATTAGTGGAGGTCAGAGTTTGCAGGATTTGTCATGTCATGAACTCGGCATTCCTTGCAGCCAAGACTCCATAGCGTGCTTGCTTGTGGCTTCTGTTACGGCTCGCCACCCAGCCACCCAGAGTTGATTGCTCCCACACGGGCTCCAGACCCATAGTCAAGCCTTCTCCTTGGAGCTCTATATGTGCGGACATGTGCAGACCACATTCGAGGAACACTCCAAGAATCAAGTTTAAAGAAATGTTCACAGCACCAAGAATCGTAAGAGTGCATCTTTCACAGCTCCACCGGTGATTCCAGCCTCAAAACAGGCCAACCCGTCCTCCGGCTTCACCCAGAGCGTGCGCTTCATGGCACGCATGTCCAGGGCCACCACTGGTCGGCACTCCTCCTCCTTCGGCGGGCACTTCAAGGAAGTGCCACAGGCACCGCTCGTACCGCCAGCCACAGGGACAACCAAGAAACCATGTTCGGAGCACGCGGACTGCAGAAGTGCGCAAACTTCTTCCTCACTGCGAGGCTGGACGACAGCGTCTGGCATCCGTGACAGGCCTGCTCCAGTTCGGAGGCTCCATATGTCGGCCAAGCTCTGACCAGTTCCTGCGCGAAGCCGCGCTTCGCTTGACCAAGAGATGATCTCCGGGTCGATGCTTGCGCGCAGCGCATCGAGCAGTCCTTCGGGTGGCGGCGGGAGTTCCTCATGACCGGCCTGTGAGGCCTGTGCATCCGGGCTTTCACATCGCCGAGCAATGGGGACTCGGAGTTCAGACTCCAGAAACTCTCGCAGGCCAGAAGACAGCGATGTGTCCGAAGTTTCGTGGCACCTCGACACCGCAACAGGGCCAAATATTTCTCGGTTAGGCTTGGACTTCCGGATGATCACAACACGCAACATGTGGCAACCATGCCCCTAAGGCCCTAGATTCCTAAAGCCGCCTTGTTTGGACACCGATCGGGAAGCCGCCCTCCGCATCCATGCTCGCCACATCACTTGGCCATAGTGGGCGGACCTTCTCTGGCCGCGAGCCCTGTCTTCGACTGTAGTTGGCATCTCCGTCATGGCCTTGCAGAGGAGACCAGATTCCTTGCAGATCTGCAACTTGAACGGAGCATGCCCTGCCAGCACAGCCACAATGGCACATCTAGCGATGAATTTCAGTGTTCACTTGTCACAGAATCTGCCCGACCAATGAGTAAGACATCTTGGCTGCATCGGCCTCCGTGCCATCTCTTCCAAACTCAGACTACTCGAAGCGGAGGTCGTGAATGCCAGCAGCCTCAACGCAAACTTTGCAGAATCAAGACATAATTACAGCTGGTGAGCACTGTCTGCTTGACATCCGCGGCAAGTCGGAGCGAAACACATCTTTTGACACGTCTCCGAGCGCAAGAACCGTCACCTGCCGCTTCGGAACCTGAACCTCCTGCTTAACAGCTGGTGCTCGAAACAGCCAGTCCTCGATGAGGACATAATCGAGATCTTCCAGCTGGTCCAACATTTCCAGTGATGCCTCGACAGTGTTGACTATTGGCTTGCCTTTGGAATTGAAGCTTGTGTTGATGAGCGCGGCAAGGCCGGTCAGCTTTCCAACTGCCAAAAGCAGCGCGTGGACCCAAGGCTCATCTTCGTGGCTTACGGATTGGTGCCTAGCTGTGCCATCAAAGTGGGCGATCGCAGGGAACCGCTCCCGGACCTCATCACGCACCTTCGGTGCAAATTCCATGTAGGCAGAGTTGTACTTGAAACCAAAGACTTCCTCCAGAGCCTCTTCGGCAATCATGGGTGCCACGGGCCGGTACCACTGCCGAAATTTCAGACGATTCATGCGTTCGCGCATGTCCTGCGAGTCTGGCACTGCCAACAGAGAGCGGTGTCCCAATGCACGCGGCCCAAACTCCTGCCTGCCCCGCACAACTGCTATGATCGGTTTCTTGTGCTTCGGTTTGTTGCCGGTCCATGCTGGTCCGCCGGCCAGAAGCTCTGCCAGGTAGTCCACGCCGCCAAGTTGCGAGAGGCTGCGGGCCCCGCGCGCCTCTGCTTCTTTCGGGAGCTCATCAACGTCCCACAGCCGGAAGCCCAGATACTGCAGCGGCTGACGTGGACCCATAGGTGGTGCTACAGCCCAGATGGCCCCGACAGTCAGTCCTGAGTCGTTGGGAGCCGGGGGAACGTACACATCCCGTGGCTTCGTCAAGTCTGGCTGCGTTGACCTGAGTTCCGTCAACGTGTCGCGCACGAGCTGATTGGCCACCACGTTCAGCGCACAACCTCCCGTTAGCACGACCCCTTCCACACTGATACCCTTCAACTGAAGTTCGCGGAGGTAGTCTTGGACAATGGGCTGCACGACACGCTCAAACTCGGCTTGAATCGTGGCTGCGAGCATGCGCTGGCTCTCGATTCCTTCGCAGACTTTGCTGAGAAACACTCGGGGAACTTCATCCAGCCCAACCGCCCAGCGGTGGAAGTACTCGCGGACCCAGCGTCCGATGTCTTCGGAGGGATCCGCCAGGCCGGAGTATCCCATCAACTTGCCTGCAAAGGTCACAAACTTCGAAATCGGGAACAGCATCTGCAGCTCAACCCAATCGCCGTCTTCCTCCTCTAGCCTTTCGCACACAAGGCTTTGCGTCTCAGGATATCCATTGACCTCCTGCAGGAAGCTGGCAAGCTTGTAATATCCCGAGCCCAAGTTCAGCGGTTTTCTGCCAATGCGATGAAGCTCAAAGCCTCTTCCCAGAAAAGCATTGAAGACGCCATCATTGCCACCGCCATCATAGGACAGTACAAACGCGGAGCGAAATGGCGAGGCAAAGTATCCCATCAACGCGTGAGCCTCATGGTGATTGACATTCCGCCACTCCCGAACATGAAAGAATCTCTCTACTATGTGCGGCAGCTGCGCATGCTGCACCGGCACGCCGCCCCCGAAATTCACCATGATGCCATAATCGAAGCTTGTCGGGCAAGGCGCATGCTCGCACTCGCAGTGCTCCAATACCATGTCAACTGCCCGTTGCCAGTGAAAGTTAAAGTTGTCGATTGTAGGAATGAAGTATCGATCCTCAAATAATCTTTCTAACTCCAACACACACTGTATTCTGCCACCCTTGCCGATGGCTATGGAGCCATCATGCCCGGCATGCAAGGCAATCACCGTCTTCTCCTCCACATGCAGTGACTCGGGCAGGCTCAACTCTTCGTAGGGACGGCGCGTCTTTGGGGACCCAAGCTCAGAGCTACGTGCAGGATTTAAACGACGGGTCGAACGGCTCGCTTTAATGGACAAGCCAGTGGCGTTTGCAGTCCAGAGGCCCGGAGAGTCTCGACCCACCGGCAAGCCCACATCACACGGCGGATAAATCTCCGTATCGCAGAACTTCTCAAATTCTTGGCTTCCAGCCACCGCCGCGTGCCAGAGGAATGAGCAATACACAGTGCGAAACATGGCTGACCAAAAACGAGTTGCTCCAATCTCAGGGTGCCATCATAGAAGTCACGCTTGGGGAATAACTACCTACCTATCTCTTTTTCAATCCCAGGGCGTGGCGTCGTTAGGTGGGGAGGGGGCAGGTCGGCATGTGTAGCCACACCCCTTTGCAGCTGGCTTGCTTCTGAAAATAGAGATGGGTCAAGAGGAAAGACATACTATACATAGACAAGTGTACCTACATGTTGGAACTAACCAGCTAGCAGGCTCCATTCTAAGATCGTTTGAAACTGATGCCCACCCAAAGCCCTACATTGTGCTTTCGACACACATTTAAAGTCTATAGAACTAATGACCAGAACACATTCAGTCCATGAAATAGGAAGGGAGGGAGTTCGTTATGTCAACTTTAACACGCAACGTGCTTCAAGGGCAAACTTCAGTGTAGATACTGCCGGCCCACTAGGAGTCCCTGAATGGAAATCCCAGCTGTCTAGTGTCCACTTGAACAAGTTGTAACAACTTGAAAGGCTTTGTGTAGAATCTTGCTGGGTGGGCAAGCCTGTGGGTAACAAATTTCAAAACCCGACTCAGCCCTCAAGAGGGGCTCCTTGACTGCAATCGAGGGCATGATTTCCTTTCTTTGAGGGTCCTTTCATGGGCTTTCGAAACATACAAGAGACCTCTCAAACATTCTAAAACCGTTGAAGCCTTTGAAGTCCTTACAACGGAAATCAAGGCAGCTGTCCCCCTTTATGGACACACGAGTCTAAGCCAGCCTGAAAAAGCCTCAAAACTGAAAATTTCAGGGATGCTGAAGAATTTTGTGCAAAGAGCCGGCCATCAAACTATTTAGAATGGCTTCCAGGCTTTGTTTCGATGCATCCATTAAGAACGTTTCACAGCATACCGGTTGTCTAAATAAGAATGAACTATCCGAAACTTATCTGGGCTTGTAACCCTTACAATCCTTGAACTGGAAATCGAGGGCTTGTTTGCACCTTTAGACCTGGATGTAAATCGGCCGCAGAAGGGCCACCCCCCTCCCCGCAGTATGGCTTTTCGGGGTGTTAGTTCAGGGCAACAAGGGATACCATACACATGTATATGTGTATATATACATACCTAATAGACAATGAAAACATATGTATAGAAGGTGTTTAGTTCTTAAGGCTGTGGTGGAATGTACCATGGTGTCAACTTGCTGGATGCCGCTGGCTCGGTGAAGGGCGTTCCTGGCGTTCCTCAATTCAAGGTCCGGAAGCCCCTTGAACTTGACGCGCCCATTGACAAACATCCCTACCGGCCTATGGGGCCCTCAGCTTTCGTTCTTGGGCACCTCAAAGCCTCTTATTTATAGAGCAAGTTTGCTCAATCTTGATAAACTACATGGGATTGCGGGGGGATAACGCAGCTACGGTCTCTGCATGCTTCCGCTGTGACCCGCCGGAAACCCGCCGGAAACCCGCCGGCCTGTCTTGTAGCTGGGAAAGCCAAGGAGACCTCAGGGAGACACAGGGTCGGAACAAACACCCCCCGGTTCTTACTAGGGAATGAGGGAATTAGGGCCCGACAAAAAAACCCTTTCAGGGATTCCCTACTAAGAACCAGCCAGAATATGAAGGGTTGCCACTTGAAACTCTCCAAGGGGAAGGACAATCGACTGCAGCTGCATGATCTTCCGTGTGCACCATTTGCCTCGAAGAGTGAAGAGTTCTCTGGTTCCGTTCCGACATACCCTTTTCATCCCAGCCAAACCCCTCCCCCAACTCCCGTCCCTCTGCTGAGGAAGAGCCCTTACAATAAGGCAACGAAGCCATAGAGCCATAGAGGCTGCAAGAGCGCTGGTTTCGGAAATCAGCGCATGAACAGGGACGTTGCAGGTTGGTGATGTCAAATCATACGAGAGGTAGCTTTCCCGAAGCACAAATGGAGACTGTGGACGCAGGGAGAGCTGGAAGAGTCGAAGAGTCACCTCAAGGCCAGCAGTGCACATCTCCTCTCCTCAGATATGATGAATATTTTCGAACCGATCTGAGAAGAATAAGTGTCAGGAGAAGTCCTCGACGACCAGGCTCCAGAAGTTGCGAGAATTCACGAAAAAAATCCCCCACCGCGAGAAGCCCTGAAACATTCCGAAAGCTCTCCGCGAAAAATTGACACGACAGGCCTGAAAGTATGAAAGCTCCTGTCGGACTTTTTGCGCTTCAGGGTTTAAGACTGTTCAGAGGAATGGACGAGGGCAAGGAAGCAACAGAGGGAGAGGCTGGGGGAGGAGCAAACGCGGCTGCCAGGGTACCGTTGCGGAGAGGCTTCAAAGAAAGTAACAAAGCGCAAGAAGTGACAGTCTGAGACAACAACAGATCAGGCAACCTGAAAATAAACTCTAGAAGAAAGCAGCATCCGAACGATCATGGGCTGCAGTCCCGTCAGCTCTGGGAAGCGTTCAGGAAAACTCTGAACGCATGAAAGCTGAACACAGGCTTGGTTATGATCTCAAGTTGTTCTGTTTGGCTAATCCCAGGCCTGACATCAGCATGGACCACTTGCTCTGCCTCGCAGGCCCAGTGGACGGAAACTGAGTCTGACGATCGGAGGGGTACAACTCGGGTACGCCAACCAGGTATGAATTCGTCCGCAAGCATACAGTAGCCACGCTTCGCCTCTGCAGCACTCATGTCACCCAGCTGGGACCAGGCATCCCACTTCGCTCGGGCCACCTGATTAAATATACTGGGCCTGGAACCCTGCGCAGGTCCCACAGTCGCTTGCTTGTAGTGGGCATAGAGGCGGAGCTTGTTGCTGTCGTCCAGGGATGGCAACGTTTTCACAGCTTCCTGCGCAGCCTCGAAAAGTCTGTCCTCATCATCGCTGCGGAGGACTGCTTGATCCGTTGGCTGCCCCGACTCTTGGCTCTGGAACGTGTGGCTAACTTGGCTTGCCGGACGCCAACCACGTGCGAATTCGTCCGCAAGCATACAGTAGCCACGCTTCGCCTCTGCAGCACTCATGTCACCCAGCTGGGACCAGGCATCCCACTTCGCTCGGGCCACCTGATTAAACATACTGGGCCTGGAACCCTGCGCAGGTCCCACAGTCGCTTGCTTGTAGTGGGCATAGAGGCGGAGCTTGTTGCTGTCGTCCAGGGATGGCAACGTTTTCACAGCTTCCTGGGCGGCCTCGAAAAGTCTGTCCTCATCGTCGCTGCAGAGGACTGCTTGCTCCGTTGGCTGCCCCGACTCTTGGCTCTGGAACGTGTGGCTAACATGGCTTGCCGGACGCCAACCACGTGCGAATTCGTCCGCAAGCATACAGTAGCCACGCTTCGCCTCTGCAGCACTCATGTCACCCAGCTGGGACCAAGCGTCCCACTTCGCTCGGGCCACCTGATTAAACATACTGGGCCTGGAACCCTGCGCAGGTCCCACAGTCGCTTGCTTGTAGTGGGCATAGAGGCGGAGCTTGTTGCTGTCGTCCAGGGATGGCAACGTTTTCACAGCTTCCTGGGCGGCCTCGAAAAGTCTGTCCTCATCATCGCTGCGGAGGACTGCTTGCTCCGTTGGCTGCCCCGACTCTTGGCTCTGGAACGTGCGGCTAACTTGGCTTGCCGGACGCCAACCACGTGCGAATTCGTCCGCAAGCATACAGTAGCCACGCTTCGCCTCTGCAGCACTCATGTCACCCAGCTGGGACCAGGCATCCCACTTCGCTCGGGCCACCTGACTAAACATACTGGGCCTGGAACCCTGCGCAGGTCCCACAGTCGCTTGCTTGTAGTGGGCATAGAGGCGGAGCTTGTTGCTGTCGTCCAGGGATGGCAACGTTTTCACAGCTTCCTGGGCGGCCTCGAAAAGTCTGTCCTCATCATCGCTGCAGAGGACTGCTTGCTCCGTTGGCTGCCCCGACTCTTGGCTCTGGAGCGTGTGGCTAGCTTGGCTTGCCGGACGCCAACCAGGTACGAACTCGTCCGCAAGCATACAGTAGCCACGCTTCGCATCTGCAGCACTCATGTCACCCAGCTGCGACCAAGCGTCCCACTTCGCTCGGGCCACCTGATTAAACATACTGGGCCTGGAACCCTGCGCAGGTCCCACAGTCGCTTGCTTGTAGTGGGCATAGAGGCGGAGCTTGTTGCTGTTGTCCAGGGATGGCAACGTTTTCACAGCTTCCTGGGCGGCCTCGAAAAGTCTGTCCTCATCGTCGCTGCAGAGGACTGCTTGCTCCGTTGGCTGCCCCGACTCTTGGCTCTGGAACGTGTGGCTAACATGGCTTGCCGGACGCCAACCACGTGCGAATTCGTCCGCAAGCATACAGTAGCCACGCTTCGCCTCTGCAGCACTCATGTCACGCAGCTGGGACCAAGCGTCCCACTTCGCTCGGGCCACCTGATTAAACATACTGGGCCTGGAACCCTGCGCAGGTCCCACAGTCGCTTGCTTGTAGTGGGCATAGAGGCGGAGCTTGTTGCTGTCGTCCAGGGATGGCAACGTTTTCACAGCTTCTTGCGCTCTTCTGAATGTATCATCTGCGTAGTCCATTGCGGTGCAGACATCCACTGTGCATTCCCTGCTCCAAGAAGTTGCCAACACTACAGGTAGCCAAACGAGGATTATAAGATATTCTTAACCGACATGGAAAGCTGAAGTGCTGGAAGAACTTGCACGATTCCAACCATGAAGCCTTGCCAGACGTACTAAGCACTTTATTCACGCAATTCTCGTAACCGCTCTCCAAAAGCCTGAGCCAAGCTCATGAACGTTCATCGAAATAGGAAATCCACTCATTCTACTCCAACTCGATCTGTCAGACTCTGATCAGAGCAGCAGAGGCCCCTTTTCTGGTTTCCGTGGTGAAACTCTGCGTGACACTGCCATCATGCCTCTGGCCCTGACCAAGTTTCAACCATTTTTCAACCATCATTCGAGCTCTCATGTCGAGAAGATACAGTCTCAGCTTCGTCAGGCCACTTGGCGGCATGGTGATCGGAATATGTAAGAACACTCCGCAGACTCTCCACCATTGCAGCCGTCCCCAGCCTTCGCAGCATTGGCACAGCTCCGAAGGATGGGAGCTCATACAAGACACAGCACAAGACAAAGGCAAGGAAAACGCGGCGAGCTGGCCTACGCCGGAAGTGGCTGAGCAGGCAGCGAGTTGAAGTTGCACGTAGATTTTGGGATCCACCTTCTGCCGCAGAAGGGGTGATGGACAGATCCGATTGAGTGAATATTCTAAAAAAGAGTAAGGCTAAGGACAACTTCTGAGCCATTGAAGTACTCACGCTGTCAGAATATGCAAAGCAAGCATCTTGAAGGTGACCCAACGGCTAGCAACTATGTCGCACTTCCTGCTCCCCCTGAATTCGCCTGCGTGCCCGCGCATGTAAGACAGTGATAGTACTCCAGTTCAAAGTGCCGCCTCAAGCGATCCAACCATCGCCGCCAGAAAGGTCTTCGGGAAGCGGTTGACTCTACCTTGGAACAGGGAATTGGCAGGGGATTGTCAAGGCCCCTGCCCTCCAAAGCACCAAGGCACAGGCTGACATGAAGCTTCCAGAGTTCAAAGAGTGGAAGCTGTTGTTGCTGAACTGCCTGCAATGTCACATCCCATGAAAGACAAGACAACCTGCTAACTCACTGCCGAAGTTCTGAGCATCCTGGAGCTCAGCGCGAAATTCATCTGCGCAATCCCACAGAGCCCTACAGAGCGCCATGCCTGCTCAGCTGCATCACGAACCTCATGCGATGTCACTTCAACTTTAACGGTGCAGAGCGCTAGCGGCGTGCTGCTCGAATCATGGTGAAGCATCTCATATGTCAGCCAACACAGGTTCTGACCCGTCTGGGGCATTCTGGAAGACCTTCAGCTGATAAAGTGCAAGGCAAGTGCTCTTGCAAGCGGCTGAAAACACAAAGGCTCAGCCAATGGCATAACGTTGAAATATTGCCGGCGCAATTGAGACCTGAGAAAACAGTCGGCTGGCAATTCTTCAGCGGCTGGACTGCAGAGAATCAGGTTGCGAACTACGTTGCTCCAGCCCATGAAGTCAAAGTAGTAGCGCTTCTTCGACTCTAGGTGTCGCCTTATGGCTGAGCAGCACACGCCAGGCCAGGACAAATGTCAGGAACACATCCCAGCCAGTCTGTTAGACATGGTGCGGGTCATCCGATGATTTCTGATCGCCATCGGGTAGGTCGTACATGCAGACATGGATGGGAAAATCCTGCGTACCACACTCTGAAGTTGCAACATCTGCATGAAGCTGCGTGGGTCCTGCATGAAGTGATCCAGGCTGACTCTGGCTCCCATCTTCAGCTGCCAATTCAACCTGAGTCGGGTGCGCGACAACTGTCAGAAAGGCAGGACAGGACTTAACCCTTAGGATGTGGGTGGCTCTGGCATCCAGCCGGAGGGTACATCATAGCGCATCCCGAACTAGACTTCAGTCTAGACCAGCAGCACATCGAGAAATGGCGCAGGCCCCCATAACCTGAAGGTGTAGGTGTCCTGGCAATCGGGGCATGCACGGAACCACGCAAAACTTGCAGAATGACCCCAACTGCGGTGTCCTCTGTGTTGAGGCAGCTCTCAGTCTCTTGAACCATGCGACTGTATTCGGCCAGACCTCTTTGGCAAGGTGCTGTGAATCCCCTTCGTTTAGCTGAAAGACACCCTGCCTACGTCCCGGCGCATCAGGCTCAGCCTCAGAACAAGTGGAAGCCAATGGAAGGCGCTGCTCTCACAATTCATTCTGCGGCGCTCAGGCTGGTGCCCATAAACATCGCTGGGTTCATCGAGGTCCGAGCTTATGGGCGGAATCGGCCTAAGAGCTAGCAAACACTGATGAACAGCAAGATCAACAAAGATCACGTGCCTGCTTGCCGGCGTGATGATAATCTGGTCGAAAACGGTGAGGTCCCTGAGTGGGCAAACGGTGAGCTTGCGCACAAAAGCAACTGAGCAGCAATCTCTGCAAGCTTCTGGCGAAACAGCGTGGCCAAGCTCAGCATCCGGTTGGATTGCTTCCTCGTGCGTCAGTGTCATGTCGGAAGTCTGTGCCAGATCTCCATGTTGCATCTGCTGATCTCATCGAATCAAGGCCACCCTATGACCCGAACCTTGCAGCGGGCGCCCCACGAGAAATAAATCCTGACATGCCGCGGCAGATGGACATGTCGAAGCATGGCAGCCTCCTGGATGTAAACTTCGTGCCTGTAAGTGTATTTCACCAGCGTGATCGCGGTGTTCATAGCAAGGATCGACGTGGATGCCACGGGCTGATCCTTCGGGATGCTGCACGAGAAGCAATACGCCATGCTGCGGCTTGGTCTGCACCCGCGGAAAAAGCATCAAATCAGGCCCCAGCATAATTGAAATCACGGAGAACCGCTCCAACGTAGAGCCGGCCTCTGGGAGCCTGGCGGAGGTTTGGTCATCCGGCAATATCCGGCAGCCTTTGAAAGATAAAAAAAAAAAAACGCCTTCTTGAACTTGCCCTGTAGGCGAAGCTCCCAGTTGCGCTTCCGTGACCGGAAGTGATCGTAGTAGGGATGTCCCCGATCCAGCCTTGAAAGACACAAATCACACGTGCGCGATGCGCGATGTGATCTTCTTGTGCGTGACCCTATAGGCCGCTTCTACGAATACCTCGCCACATCTGCTTGCTTTCGTATTTCCCATTCCAGCTCCTCTGCTTTTGACGAGGGCTCGGGCCATAAGTGTATGGGTAGCATAAAGCAGGTACCCCCCGTGGCGCCCCCCCCTCACCATCCTTCACGCCCTCCCATCGAACCCCTCCAGCCCTGTCTATTCTCGCTTTGCCTTGAGCATCCTTAACAGCATGTGACCCGTTCCAGGCCCCCCCCCTGCCCCCTGGCCACCTACCTCCCCTCCACCCCACTCCTACCCTACGCTTCCTGCTTAATCCGAGGATCTGATTCATAAAGCCCCCGAAATTTAGAGCAACATTTTTTGCCCCGAACCCTCTATGAAGACTACTTTCCATTACGGGAGCCAAAAGCCCCAAAGTGCACAAACAAACCCCCGACATTTAAAGCAAAAGATGTGGGGCCCAAAAAAATTGGAATTGCTGAAGGCTGCAGGAATCATGGAAAGACCGTCGGCCTGCGAGGACGAGAAGCACAGAGATTTTGAATTGCTTAAGTAATGATACGACGTGCTCTCGGATTTTTTGGAATTGGAGGCTGCAGCAGAAAACTGCGATTCCTTACTGCTTTTCATCTAGGATCATTGCCCAAATCATTCGCTCCTGACCTACCCTTACGGGTCGGAATTCAGGCCAGAATTTGGGATTAGTGAAACCCCTAAAATAGTGGAAAGCCCGGCGGGCCCACCATGACGATAAGCACCGAGAGTTTGACTTGCTTAAGGCTTAAGTAAGCAATTGCCCACGTCCTCTCCCTTTTTTGGAATTGGAGGCTGCAGCAGAAAACTGCGATTCCTTACTACTTTTCATCTAGGATCATTGCCCAAATCATTCTCCTGACCTACCCCTTACGGGGCCGGAATTCAGGCCAGAATTTGGGGTTAATAAAACCCCCTCAAACGATGGAAAGCCCGGCGGCCCCACCATGACGAGGCAAAAACATAAGCCTTCCAAAAAAGAGGAGCGGAAAAGGACACACTCCCCCACCCCCCTCCCCATCCCAGCCCAAGAAATAATAGACATTATTCTCGGCGGGGGGGGGGGGGGGGGGGGGGGCCATTAATCAGAAGCACGGATTCTCCCTTCCATCATGTTTTTGCCACCCCCCTGCCCTGAGGCGTGGTCACGAGCCCCGCTTGATAACTTAGAACTCTATTTTGGGTACTTCCATCCCTACTTATGAGCTACCCAGCGTTAGACTGAAGTATGCGCAACTGCCGAGAGTCGGGCCCCTCTGTCGGTCGGTACAACAGTAGCACCTTTCCGACAAAGTTGTCGTTTTCGATCGGGATGGCTGCCGTCCTACATTGCCGAGGTTTTACCGGGGCAACGCTGGATTCTTGGCCGTTTTGCCCAATGATGAGCTTGAGCACACATGGTCTGAGCACCGGACGTGTTGCATGGCAGGAAGTTCGCACGCGGCAACCTGAACGACCGCAACAGATCCAGAACGACTTTTCACAAGCTTAAGATACTGTAATCGACGTTTCCGTGAGCCGGCTGGATTCTCACTCAGCTGTCGCACAAGCTTTGTACTGTAATCGATGCTCGTGAGCCAGCTGGATGTGCATTGCAATGTTAACACTGGGATCAACATTCCATGAACGGACCGGATTCTAATTGCTTAGTAACACTTAGTACTGCAATCAACGTTTCCCTGAACAGGCTGGAGTTTCATTGCTGTGTAGTGCAAGCTTGGTGCTGGAAAGGATGTTTCCAAAGCCAAGAGGAAGTTCACGCTTGGCCCCTATCGGTTTTCATACCAGAGCAGACCTTGTCAAATCTATATGACTCCTCCAACTCTTCCATAGGTTTTGTCCCATACAGTAATGTCTAGACTCTCCCTGGCTGGGCCCGGTGTCCCCACCTGGATCCACTGCTGGTGCCATACCCAGAGTCATGCACGATCGAATACCTGAACCACATGTCATGGCTGCAAGGCATCTGAAGCCATCTACATGCTTCAGCCAAAAGACTCATGAGGAGGCGCAAAAGAAAAAAGCTCCTGCTTTCTTTGAGTGCTCTCAGAGTGCTCTCCAAAGCTGGGCAGCGCACGCCAGCAGGTGCGCCTTGCCCGGCAGGCCTGCGATGTGGCGGCCTCTTGCCAAGAAAAAACGAACGTTCAGACTCCTTTGGAGAGCTGTGGGTGCCGTACAATTCATATGAAGTCATGCAATCTGCAATGCAAATCATGCCGAGTCACGCAATCCGAGCAACCCGAGTTCCCTGGCGCCAAGTCCCCAAGGTTTATCCAAGGGCCGCGCGGACAATACTCTGGCTCTGTGCAGCTTGGCCGTCTCTCGAGAGCTCCTCCGCGCTAAGACGATTTCATGATTTTGGGCCTTTGTTCTTTTGTCTTTGGATGTGGTTTAAGGGACAATCGATGCTGGATCTGCTGCACCAGTCGGCCAATGTGCTACCAAGATTCATGGAGCATGCGCAGAATTCACAATCAATTGATTCTTTGATGACACATCTGAGACAAGAATTCGAGCCTCAACAGGCGGTGCCGCCACTCGGGGCCTGACAATGAGGCAAGGGCGCCAGCATCAGGCTCGATACGTGCAACGTACGGCCTAGGCTTGCAGCTCAACACAAAAAGAATGCGCCTTAATGTTGTCAGCGAGCCAGCGAGCGAGCGAGCAAGCGAGCAAGCGTGCGTGCGTGCGTGCGTCCGTCCGTCCGTGCGTGCGTGCGTGCGTGTGTGGCAGCTGATGTTTTCTATCGTCCTGCGATGACCTGTTTGGCCAAGCCCGTAAAAACTCTTGGCTTCCGAACCGTTCACTTGTCGCCCAATGTGTTGTTTCAGGTGTTGTACCGTTTTCTTGCAAAAAAAAAACATGACATCTGCCCCTAACTTAGCCATCAACCGAGTGAGTGATGTTAAAACACTTTTGTGACTATGGCAAGCTGCCAGGGTCCGAAATTCTGCAAACAGTGCCAGACAGGTGTGAGATGCACAGATTCAGCACACATCATCGTACGTGCTTCCGACCTGGACGTCCGCTGACACGACGATGACCAAAAGATGTCCCAGAATCCAGAGGCCGCATTGTATGGAACTACCTTGCTGCCAACCGTCGAGATGGGTAGCTAGGGTACTTGCAACTTTTTTTGATTAGTTGTAACTTTGTTTTGCTTTAGTCGTGACTTTTAGTACTTGGACTGCTGGCACGCGCAGTAATTACAAGGGAATTGGGGGTTTGGGGACCCTCAACCCCAATCAAACTCAAAAATCCCTAAACCCTAAAACACGCCTGAGCCCTAAACCCTAAAAAACCCTAAACCTAACCCCTAAAGCCCTAATCCATAAACCCAAAAAAAACCTAATCCCTAAAGAGCCCTAAACCAAAAAAAAAACAAACCCTAAAAACCCCTAAGTCCTAAACCCTGAACCCTAACCCTAAAAACCTGGCCCTAAACCCTAAACCCTAAACCCTCAAAAACCCGAAACCCTAAATCCTAAAAACCCCTAAACCCTAAAAGCCCTAAGCTCTAAACCCTCAAAACCCCTGAGCCCTAAACCCCAAAAACCTGGCCCTAACCCTAAACCCTCATAAACCCTAAACCCTAAACCCTACAAGCGCTAAGCCCTACACCCTAAGATCCCTGAGCCCGAAACCCAAAAAACCCGCAACCCTAAAGAACCCGAAGCCCTAAACCTTAATAAAACCAAAACTTAAAAAACCCTAAGCCCTAAACCCTAAAAGCCCGTAAACATAGGCATGTTTTCTGAAATCTCATCATGCGAGCATTTGTGTTTGCAAATGGGGGGGGGGGGGGGGCTGCGCCCCGCTTTATTCTTTTTCGAACCCATCATGCGCGCGTTGTGTTTGCAAATGGCAGGGGGCTAAAGATCCCTAAAACCCAAAGACCCCTCAACCCTAGAAATCCCTAAGCCCCTAAACCCTAAAAACCCCGAAGCCCTAAACCCCAAGAAGCCCCTAAACCCGAAACCCTAAACCTAAAAACGCGCCCCTCCCAACCCGGGGCTAAAAATCCCTAAACCCTACACTCCAAAAACCCCTATCCCTCAACACCTAAGCCCTAATAACCCATAGACAGGCACCTCCCATAGGTAGGACAGGGGCCTATAACCCTAAACCCGAAAGGGGTGGCTCACCGTCATAGCTGCACATACAGTATCCCTGCTGCTAGTACTTCATGGTGGTTACAAGCATAATGTGTGCAAACCGATTCTTAGGCCAACACGCTGCTTTCGGTGAGCTGCTCATCACCACGGTTTACGCAGCATTGCCTGGTCAAAGTGCCTTTAAACAATCAATGATGAACCCTCAGAGTCTCCAAAGCACAGCTACTTCATCGAAATGCATCGGAGATTTCAGTGCGCGGCATTGCCGTGGGTGACGTAAGCACTGGTTCCTCGCTGGCCCCAGGGCCTCGTGAGTGTGACTCGAGCTAACCGCAGAATTGGTGCATGCATCACAGGTCACACCCAAGAAAATCAGACCGTGGTGTGAGCTCGCAACACACACTCACTCCCATGCACCCACCCTCGCAACCAACCTCGCACCCACAAATCCACGCACGCACCCACGCACACACGTAAGCACACGCACAATAGCAAGGGCTGAGGGAAGGAAAACAACAGCCTAGTCAACCTGAGGCAACGGCTCGCTCAGCCTCTGCCACGCACAAGCCGGAAGCAGGTGCGGAGCAGCGCGCTCGCCGCGGAGCTCAGAGCTCCGCCATTGAGAGCTTACAAGGGTTCTGCCTCGTTCCGCACCCTTGCACCGCGATGGTCTCGACAAATCTGGTTCGATACTTTGAATCCACTGTTGGGAGGGTCGGAGGGTACATACGGTGTGATGGCTGAGGTTGGGTATGAGGTAGACGACTCGGGGTAGGCTGGCTGATGGCCACAGTAGCCTTCTTCAGCTGGGTCTGCTGCACAACGTCTAGGAGCAAGATGAATCAGAGCATATCAAAGCACTTGTCACTGGCACCTCTCTGCCGCTTAAGAGGCAGGCTTCGCATGTCTCTCCGGACCGTAGCGAAGATTTGGCATACTGCCGGAACCAGAAGCTGAAGCATGCTTTGCCCTTTGATTAGCCGCTCAGGCTTTCACGCTCTTCGCACGTCTTTGGAGGCCTCGGTGGGCCAAGGTGCTGTGTAGGCGATTGTTCCGCCTTGCACGAAAAGTGGCATTCAGCTCAGCGAGAGCTGGCGAAAAGCAAAGGGCCAGCACTGCCACTGGCCACGCGATTTGCTCATATCTTTTTCTGAGTTTTCTTCTGGCCAACGTGCCACCATGTGCCACCTTTCGATGCGCCCTCGCTGCAGCCACCATAACGAAAATCGGTGGCAGAACAGCAGCTGATGTCAAACTATAGAGCTGCAATAGTCAAGCCCTGCCCCTTTGCCCCCAGTACAACAGATGGTCCACTCTGAGCTCCAAAGTTTGGCAGATCTGCTGGAGAAACTCCGCGGCTTCATCCGCTACAGCTACACAATGCTACACAGCTACGCACGCCGTCTACGTGTGTCTACGTGTCTCTGGAAAGGGCCGGAGAAGGGGCCGGAGGATGGCCATCGTCGGATTTTGTGTCATCAAGCAACCGTCAGCCAACCCACCCACCAACTTGTCTGATACAAAGCCGCTTCGATGCGGCAGAGTCACTAGGAAACTGCTTTTACCTGACTCGTCTGCTGAAGTCGGCATGCCGCGCTCTCGGCCGAGATCAGTCACCCTCACGCTTGACCTGGCAGAACAATCGCCATGTTCCCTCTGGCGCAAGCGACCGCAGTGGCTGGCCTCAAAGAAACCGCCCCACTTCAGACCTCCCTGCATGGCACGGCCGCTGATAGTGCCTGGCCTCCGTTTGTGACATCACGAGAGTCCCGCATACAGAGGTGAGGCGGTTGACTCGGGCTGCTGCCCAGCGCCATTGAGCGTGCCGTTCAGGACAGTATCTGCGTCCTGAAGACAGCAGCAAAGCTCGTTCACGATTGAGGGACAGATGGGCCATCAGTAGGTCCGATCCTAACTCGAGTGACGGACGCAAACGCCAAACCCTCAACCCTCAACGCACTCAGCAAAAAACAACGAACTCTCAAACCTCTAAGCCCTCAAAAGACACTACAGCACTACACCCGTATACCCCTACAAACCCTAGAACCCAGCCCTCAACCCTATAAACCCCCTGAAAACCCAACCCTGAGAACTCTAAACCACCCCCACCCCCCGCTGAACCCTTAAAGGCAAAAAAGCCTGACAATTACGCCCTTTCCCCCCCCCTGCCCACCCCCCCCCCCCCCCCCCAAAAAAGAGTCCGGGGGGGACTGTGTGAGGGTACTCCTTTGGTACATTTTGTCTTGTCTGGCGTCTCTCGTGTTGAAAAAGTATGCAAAACATCAAAGATGACAATGTTCAGTTGATATGGTCGAAGAGGATCAAGTGATGGAGATTCTACTGTCGAATAACTGTCAAAGAGCCCCTAGCCCCGCAACCGCGAGGCCCTAAACACAGCATCCAAACCGAACAACCGACACGAGCATGAACACTTTAGAGGCCCACGAAGCCTTATAACATCCGAGAAGTGGAATCGAGCATGCTTGCGTCGCACGCTTTGGGCTTCAAGCACTGCTTGGGTCATGTGTGCTTGAAGCGGTGGTGCTCGATACGACAATTTACGTGCACACAAGAAGAAACATCCAACGTGCCATGTCTTCAGACTTAGCATCACAAAACGAGAACGTCAGCTTGGCTCCCAAGAGCTCTCTCTACAGCTCCCCCAGTGTCCCGGAAGATGACGCCGTCTTCATCTGCGGAGATGACCTGTCAAGCAGCCGCATTTCCGAAAACCCCCGGGGATGTTCTCTGGACAAGGCAGTGCCTTGCAGGGGCCTTCGTAAGACTTGCCGGCCTGCAAAAAGAAGAGCGCAGAGCGCGCACGCGGGATCTCTTTGCTTTGAGACTTGCTCTCCACGACTTCTCCACATTGCCTGCAGCTTCTTGTTGGGATCCGTGATCTTCCACGCCCCCTTGTCATCACCGGGCCCTACCTGCCCAGTTATACCCTGTTCAGAAGGGGAGGAAGGCAGCCTTGAGCAATAAAGCTCCCCTCAGCGTTGCGAATTCCACTCCTTGCCTCAACAACCAGGTCGAACTTCTGCCGAGCCGTCAATACCTTTAGACAGATGCGGCAGGCGGATGCTTTGTTTGCAGGCATAGACAAAAACTCAGCTCGAGACAGGGTGCTTCAGCCAGCCCACAAAGCGGTCTCCGGCCTGGACCTTCACCACTCTATGCCAAAGCCAACCGAATGATAACCCATTCTGTGACGAGAAATCACACCACCGGCATCACGTCAGTGAAAAATCATGCTGCGGTCGGATGAGCAGCTGCAGTACCGAAAAGATGCCCCTGTTGCAGGACGAGTCGAAAATTTCAAAATGGGTTTCGGATGGGAATCTGTATCTGCATAAGCATTTCAATGTTCTAAGGTCCTGCCACATTAAGGCATGAAAGTGTATTTTGCTTACCTCAAGTTCGAATCGGCCTTTGACGGCGCGACGGTCATCCGACATCCCAGACAATAAATAGAAATTCAAATCTTTACGTGCATGCCATCTATCATACTTTCATAGGAGGCAAGTCCCCCCCCCCCACCCCCGTGTGTTCCCCGGCCCTGCTCCACCTTGTTCACCTCCGCATGCCGCGCGACGGAGGCCCTTCGCAGAGCGGATGCTGAAACAGACGAAGCGCCGCCGACGAAGCTCTGGAGGCCTCCAGAAGGCCAAAAAGCCCCAAGTGTTTGGGGTCTGGCCGGGGTTGCTGGGCTCTTGATTTCAGATTTCAGAGAGCACCTCTGAGTTGACAATGAAACCAATGGCACGACCATGCTTCTCGAAACTCTGCCAACTAGCTCTCAAGCTTTTGCCCCAAGATCCGAAGCGATGGCAAGCCAACTCCGACACAGCCCGACACTCCCCAGCAGCCAAGTCGCCTGAAACCGATGTTTAGAACTTTGCGGGGTCTTAGAGTCAAGAAGGCTTTAACTTTAACTTAGGGACTTAGGGTGGGAGGGGGCCACCTGTCCGCAGAGCCAGGAAGGCAGCAGCTAGGATGAGGAGCGATCGAGAACGAGCCATGGCGAGATCAAACAGGACACACAAAGCCCAAAGCTGCTTGACACTGCTGAAGTCGTTTCGGCTGGAGATATTCGAACCCAATGGATCCACTTCTTCTTGATCCACCGCCAAAATGCATGAGCATTCGGAGATACAAGAAGCTCACACAACCCCCAAAGGAGGCATGGGGTATGTGCAAACATCCAAACACATGCGGTCAGCTTGATTCTTGCAGTTTCTGGCACGTCCTCAACCCAAGGGAGGTGGGTCAAAGCTAAGAGCCAGCTCAAGACAAGTGAGCCATGTGAGCCCGAATTTTTGCGTTGAGCGCACGCGCGCATCAGGGTCCCGTCAGGAAGAGCCCAAACCTCGAAGGGTTTTCATGCTGAGGAAAGCACATGGTGCACATTCTTTAACATGCCACACAAATAACAACAGAATAGGCTGTCTCTCATCGAGCCCTGTGCAGTCAAGCTCTGCATGGTTCTCAGCACTGCACTCTTTGCCAAGCTCGGCCAGCTCACCACCAGCCTGCAAGTACGACCCCACTATGACTGCTGAGCCATGTTCCCGTTTCGTGAAAGGCGGGCCAGCCTTCTCGGCGTACTGGACCCACAGCGGTTCCTGCGCGGCGTCGCACAGAGAGAGAGAGAGAGAGAGAGAGAGGATCATGATGAACATCATCAGATCGCGTGTCGAATGTGTGCACAGCATTAACTACATCTTCACCGACTACGAAACCTATCAAAGTAATGGGGAAGCGGGTTGTGAGAAGGGCTCTTCAAGTCCGAGCTTGGAAGGGGTTGGTGGGCGTGGTGAGTGGGACAGAGAGCAGAACGCCCGTGCTGCTAAGGCAAGTATACTGCTACTAAATGTTGGGACACGACGCTGCCGCGACTTCTGGCTATCTTGGAACAGTCAGCACTGAGTTGTCTTGCATCGGCCTCGAGGGAAGAGTCTGGCTCGCGCAGCAGAAAATCCCGACTGCGCAGAAGAGCGGCTTAAGAGGTCGAGACATCTTTGCACTCTGACCGGCTCTGGCTTTCACCTCCTATCGCCCCACATCACCTCCCATCAGCTGTGCCTCACTTGGACAGGAATCCAGACCCCTGCCCTTGGCGAGAGCTCACTGACCTGCAAGCAGCTTCAAGATTGCATCGGACTCCACACCACTCAGCGCACCCTTGCATCTGCCCGCTCTGAATCCCTGTGCCTCGTTGCCTTTCCACAATATATTGTTAACGAAAAGCTTGAAGCGCAGCGAGGAACCGGGCCCCTCAGATTCGGACCGCAAGACTTGGTTCCCGTGAAAGCTCTCGGGGCTAGGAGCCAGACAGTGTCAATCCAGCGGCACGCGGTTTCGTAGTGGTCACTGCCACTGTTGCGAGAGCATTTTTTAAGTTGAATGAAGTGACAATAAGTGACACGTAACCCCACTCTCAATCGCTGACTCGGAGAGAGCTGCTGAGTTTTTTCTTTCCGGCGCGCGGCGGCCTCTAAATTTCCAGGCCTTGTGACATGGCCTTGTGACATGGCCTAGTGACACACGCATCTCGGAGAGGAGCCGAATAGTGCAGCTAGCCGCCGCTCCTTGATGCAGAATGCAGGGCAGAGCCCGCAAGGTCTGGTCGCACTCACAAAGTCCCCCTGAAAGGAGCATGGCCCCATGGCATGGCAAAGTGGTCTCCTTTTGCAGACGGCATGATTCAAAGTCTGACCATTCTGCGGCACCGCGTCTGTACTGGAACCTTGGCCAGCCTGCAAGAAGGACTCGGTCTGGACTTCCAAGTCGCCCCCAAAGCCGTCAGGCCATCCAGCATGTCCACTTAGAACTTTGCAGCGGGTTGCCCTCAGGACTCAGCCTGGATCAGTCTCCAAGAACCGGACTTCAGTGACTTCGGCTGTACCGCTAACATCCGTGCAGTGCTGCCCAGGCACATCCTGGACATGGGAGTCCTTCACTGCCTGGCGCAAGTGCAAATTTGCTGCAGAACCCAGGAACAGCCACCAAATTGTGCAAAGTCGCCTTCTGCCTTTTGACAGGCAAATGTTGCAAGAGGCCGTGCGTGCCATATCATGCCATACTGCAAACCCATCCTGCCAAAACTCCTCGGCCAGTCTCAGCTTCTCCTCCTATAGCACAGGACACAAAGAACACATGTGAAAGTTGTTCCTCAAGTCTAGCGTTAAGCGAGGGTATGCAGGCTTCAATCTGGGTTCCTGAATAAACCTCCACCCTTGTCCAGGTCCTAGCATCGTTGCAGAATCTGGAGATAGGCATACAAGTACCAGCAACCAGCACCTGAACTCCTGGAATGGCAACAGCCGCAAACAGGCCTTCTCCATTTGGAAGGCCTGGTCCTCTGCTTGCCGGAACTTCTTCACCCACCTTCGCTGTGCAGACAACACGGCACGACTGCCCCCCCATGTGACCCTACGAGACAAACCCCTGAGGCCGGCGCTGCTTGCGATTCCAAGCCTGCGGTGCAAGCAGTGTAAGTACACGCGTGCTGCAGTATCGCCGGTATGTCTTCATAACTCAGCTCATGAGTACATACTGACGCCGCCTGCCAATTGAGGCGCTTGACTTCTGCCTCATCAGGCACGAGAATCAATGAGCGAACTCATGAGGCGAAGCGCGAAAGCAGCGCCTTGCGACATTGCTCGATGATGTTCAGGACATGCTTCCGCGAGACTGCGGACAGCTTCCGAGAAGCCTACCCAGGATGTCAATCACCAACAAGTCTCAATGCACCGCAAGCAAGGCCTAGCTTGCGAGCATCCATTAGCTTCAGTATGAGTTCAGCAGTCTGGGAAGCTGAAACCCTCCACACCTGCGCCAAAGTGTTCCATCTTGGCTCCTCACGGCAAACTGAAGCGCCCTGAACTGCTGCAGCAAATGATGGAATTGAAAAAAGTGTCCTGGGCAGTCGGCTTCCGGAGATTCTTGAAATGGTCGACCCAACCAGCCACCTGATGCTGGGGTGGCGGTTGCTGAATCGCTCTACGCCGCTCTACGCCGCTCTACGCCGCTCTACGCCGCCTAAGCCTCACATGCCTCTGGCCTCATCCTTCTCAGCCTCTCCCATCTCCCTCATGGTGTCCTGAAATTTTCGGACCCACCTTGACACTGAAGCGACTGGAGCACTATCGCTTTAGCCTAGGACAGTCTTCAGAGCTACTGAAACTGCCACAGCGGATGCATCTGATAAGCTTGATGCTTTTGGCTCGCCGCTTGGCCGCCTTTGCCCATTTGGATCAATGTGGTCCTCTGCACCCAGCTGCCCCTTCATGTTTTTGCTCACCGGCAGAAACCAGATCGGGTGCCACCGCGCTTCATGTTGGTCCTGAATCCGTCCTTCCATATCTTGGGCTCCTTTGCAATGGACCTGCACCACAAGCTCTTAGGACTCTTCCTATGATGACACATTGGCTCGAGCACAGCCATGGTGAATCACTGAATCATCATGAAGGGGCCGTTGAAAAGCGGAACTGAAGAGGCAGGGATGCCTAATTCGCGACTTTGCAAGTGCAGACAGCATGTCTCCAAACAAAGCGCAGCTTTGCCTGTCCAACTACTTTACTTCTTCAAGATTTGTCTAGCAGCATAACAGAGGCCTCTGCAACACTATACATAGTCCACATACTTTCAATCTTAAATGTTGCTCAGCGTAGTGGATTTACCATGCTGTCTTCGCTTGCACCTGGCTCTCCAATAGCATCCATCTGAAAGCAACTGGCCTGCGCAATCGTTTCATCATGCTCTTGTAGCTTTTCTGCCAGCCTGAGATGTTCCAACAATGCAGAAAATGCTCTCTGGACTCAACGATGCCAGAGAGAAAAAACCAAAACTCGTGAGTCTGCATTCTTGACGGAGTCATTATTAATCTCGACGAAAACAAACACAACCAGGCTTGACATCAGGCAGTTTAGCAAACAGCTGCCCCGTCAACCATGCAACTCGGCATCAATTGGAGAGCTAGCGCAAGCTCTGCTCACAGGCCTAAACCTCAGCCCTGGCGTCAACACGTCTTTTCATCACCGTGCTGTGTTGAACTTCATCATGAAATCAAAAAAGAGACTTCCAACGACCCAACGACACGCACAAGATTTGTACACTCGGCATCAATTGGAGAGCTAGTGTAAACTCTGCTCACAGGCCTGAGCCTCAGCTCTGGTGCCAACACTTCTTTTCATCACTGTGCTGTGTTGAACTTCGTCATCAATCAAAACAGGGACTTCCAACGAAGTCATGGACCAGATTTGTCTTTGGCACTCGGCATCAATTGGAGAGCTAGTGTAAACTCTGCTCACAGGCCTGAGCCTCAGCTCTGGTGCCAACACTTTTTTTCGTCACTGTGCTTTGCTGGACTTCGCCATGAAGTCAAAACAGGGGCTCCCAACGAAGTCATGGACCAGATTTGTCTTTGGCACTCGGCATCAATTGGAGAGCTAGTGTAAACTCTGCTCACAGGCCTGAGCCTCAGCTCTGGTGCCAACACTTTTCTTCGTCACTGTGCTTTGCTGGACTTCGTCATGAAGTCAAAACAAGGGCTCTCAACGAAGTCATGGACCAGATTTGTCTTTGGCACTCGGCATCAATTGGAGAGCTAGTGTAAACTCTGCTCACAGGCCTGAGCCTCAGCTCTGGTGCCAACACTTTTCTTCGTCACGGTGCTTTGCTGGACTTCGTCATGAAGTCAAAACAAGGGCTCCCAACGAAGTCATGGACCAGATTTGTCTTTGGCACTCAGCATCAATTGGAGAGCTAGTGTAAACTCTGCTCACAGGCCTGAGCCTCAGCTCTGGTGCCAACACTTCTTTTCATCACTGTGCTGTGTTGAACTTCGTCATCAAATCAAAACAGGGACTTCCAACAAAGTCCTGGACCAGATTTGTCTTTGACACTCGGCATCAATTGGAGAGCTAGTGTAAACTCTGCTCACAGGCCTGAGCCTCAGCTCTGGTGCCAACACTTCTTTTCATCACTGTGCTGTGTTGAACTTCGTCATCAATCAAAACAGGGACTTCCAACGAAGTCATGGACCAGATTTGTCTTTGGCACTCGGCATCAATTGGAGAGCTAGTGTAAACTCTGCTCACAGGCCTGAGCCTCAGCTCTGGTGCCAACACTTTTTTTCGTCACTGTGCTTTGCTGGACTTCGCCATGAAGTCAAAACAGGGGCTCCCAACGAAGTCATGGACCAGATTTGTCTTTGGCACTCGGCATCAATTGGAGAGCTAGTGTAAACTCTGCTCACAGGCCTGAGCCTCAGCTCTGGTGCCAACACTTTTCTTCGTCACTGTGCTTTGCTGGACTTCGTCATGAAGTCAAAACAAGGGCTCTCAACGAAGTCATGGACCAGATTTGTCTTTGACACTCGGCATCAATTGGAGAGCTAGTGTAAACTCTGCTCACAGGCCTGAGCCTCAGCTCTGGTGCCAACACTTCTTTTCGTCACTGCGCTTCATGCAGGCAAAAAAGGGGCTTACAACGACCCAACGTCACGGACCAGATGTGTACACACGCTATCAATCGGGGAGCAGAGCCCCAGAAACAGGCCCACGAACGGAAACGGCTCTGATAAACAATGTGACCTGCCACTCAACATTGGAGGGCAAGTGTGTCTGTGCTCATGGACCAAAGCCTCAGCTCTGGTGCCAACACTTTTTCTCATCCTTGTGGCCGTGCCCCAAGAACAGGCGACACATCCCACCGAGAATGTGGGCAGAACCATGCGACTTGCCACTCAACATTGGAGGGCAAGTGTGTCTGTGCTCATGGACCAACGCCTCAGCTCTGGTGCCAACACTTTTTCTCATCCTTGTGGCCGTGCCCCAACAACATGCGACACCACGCACCGAAAACGTGTGCAGAACCATGCGACTTGCCAAAACATTGGAGGGCAAGTGTGTCTGTGCTCATGGACCAAAGCCTCAGCTCTGGTGCCAACACTTTTTTCTCATCCTTGTGGCCGTGCCCCAAGAACAGGCGACACATCCCACCGAGAATGTGGGCAGAACCATGCGACTTGCCACTCAACATTGGAGGGCAAGTGTGTCTGTGCTCATGGACCAACGCCTCAGCTCTGGTGCCAACACTTTTTCTCATCCTTGTGGCCGTGCCCCAACAACATGCGACACCACGCACCGAAAACGTGTGCAGAACCATGCGACTTGCCACTCAACATTGGAGGGCAAGTGTGTCTGTGCTCATGGACCAAAGTCTCAGCTCTGGTGCCAACACTTTTTCTCATCCTTGTGGCCGTGCCCCAAGAAGCATGCGACACCACGCACCGAAAACGTGTGCAGAACCATGCGACTTGCCACTCAACATTGGAGGGCAAGTGTGTCTGTGCTCATGGACCAAAGCCTCAGCTCTGGTGCCAACACTTTTTCTCATCCTTGTGGCCGTGCCCCAAGAACAGGCGACACATCCCACCGAGAATGTGGGCAGAACCATGCGACTTGCCACTCAACATTGGAGGGCAAGTGTGTCTGTGCTCATGGACCAACGCCTCAGCTCTGGTGCCAACACTTTTTCTCATCCTTGTGGCCGTGCCCCAACAACATGCGACACCACGCACCGAAAACGTGTGCAGAACCATGCGACTTGCCACTCAACATTGGAGGGCAAGTGTGTCTGTGCTCATGGACCAAAGTCTCAGCTCTGGTGCCAACACTTTTTCTCATCCTTGTGGCCGTGCCCCAAGAAGCATGCGACACCACGCACCGAAAACGTGTGCAGAACCATGCGACTTGCCACTCAACATTGGAGGGCAAGTGTGTCTGTGCTCATGGACCAAAGCCTCAGCTCTGGTGCCAACACTTTTTCTCATCCTTGTGGCCGTGCCCCAACAACATGCGACACCACGCACCGAAAACGTGTGCAGAACCATGCGACTTGCCACTCAACATTGGAGGGCAAGTGTGTCTGTGCTCATGGACCAAAGCCTCAGCTCTGGTGCCAACACTTCTTCTCATCCTTGTGGTCGTGCCCCAAGAACCATGCGACACCACGCAGCACAAAAATGTGCATAACCATGCGACTAGAACCATGCGACACCACGCACCACAAGAATGTGGGCAGAACAATGCGAGCAAGTGTGTCTGTGCTCATGGACCAACGCCTCAGCTCTGGTGCCAACACTTCTTCTTATCTCGTGGCAGTTCACACCCACCAGAACAGTTCTCTGCCCGTGCCCAGAATCAGCGTAAAGTCAACATCGAGATGTCAAGTCCACATGCAGGCCTACAATGACCGTTGCGCCAAAGCCTGAAGTCACTTCAAGGAGCAATGCTTGTTTTTTTCGTCTTGCTGCAAGACAATCTTGTCGATCTCCTGTCGGGCTGCAGAGTACCCGACCCGCAGTTCCCAGCCTTTCGGAAGCAGCCTCCTGGATCTGCTCAGCAGAAGGGACCTGCCCAAGCTGCAAGGCTGTCTGGACACCGAGGCTTAGACCGTGTCCAGGCCAAGCAAACCCGGGCCCTGAACATGCCTCGGCATTCTCAGATCTCTGCTGAAAGCCTTCCCGAAAGTCCCGCAACCTCTTGGAGTGCTGTCGTCCAAGCTCCTTCCATTCTTTTCTTGAAAGTGCTTTCGTCAGCATAGTGAAGAGGCTCAGACAATCAAATTGCAGCAAAACCCTCAGTACCACAACCAATGTACAATGTGCGTGCATGCACAGGCTCAGTCCTCTTGACGATAAGATGCCTGCAGGCAAAACAAAACATGCGCGTTCGATTTTAGCACTTAGGTCCCTTTGGAGCACGAGTCTGACTTGCGCACGTCTTCCACATGAACGTCAAAGTACTGCATATGTTGAAACGACAATGCAACATCAACTTTTGAAGGGGACTGTAGCCTACACCGCCGGTGCTATTGGAAGCACAAAAGCAACACCGTCAGCACGAAGGGGAACGGCCTCCTCCTGGACATGAGCGAACTTTGCAACCCAAACCTTTCCATCCTGGCATGAGGATAGAGCAGCGACAGCATGTGTCGCTTTTTGCAGTTGCGAGAATCCAGCAGACATCGAACTTGATTCAAATTCGACACCGTCGACACGTGAGCCCGGCAGTAAGGCTGATGTAAGCACGGCTACTGCATCGACGACACGCAGACAATGACCTCTCAAGTTTCCGAAGCCAAGAGCTTCATGGCTACACACAGTTGTGGTAAGTGTCACTGTAGTCAGGGCTCGAAAGTCTGCTGCCTCAGACAAAACAGAACCAAACAAGAATTTCAGATCTTGGGTGCACCTGTTTCAACGTGCACGCGAGGGTCGATCGACGACATGTGGTGACAGCGGGTTGATTGTCGTTTGACTGCTACAGAAACACGCAGTTGTGAAGGAACAATCTCTTGCTGCCACCTTCTCCCTTTGGGAAGCTGAAAGTTCTCGCTCTGCATGAAGACGTTCCTTCCAGGCTTTTGCCTTCCAGCATTATGCCCCCGGCATGTTCGGTTGAAGCCATCACCGTGACAACCCAGGCCTCATCATCTACGTATCGCTTTCGATTCTGCTTGAAGGTATCTAACGCTCCCCATCCGAGGCTCAAGTCCTGGCAGTGAAGAACAGGTCAAGTAGCATGTTAGGCAATACACAAACGAATACATAAGGTAATACGAAAGGTACTACCGACAATAATACAGCAATACATAAAGTGATACATAAAGTAATACATTATACAGCACTTGCTGCGAAATGAGGGCCGCTGGCTTTGAGCTTTGCTTGGCTTGAGACAAGCTCCTGAAGTCCAAACCGCAAAAGTGTCTTCACGGCTCACTCAGTCTCTGAAAGCCAATGATGAAGCCCCGTGTCAATCATTACCTGGCTCGGAGCTGAACACTAAGTGGTCCTCCTAACACTAGGTGGTCCTCCTTTTGCTGTTGCCACACTGAATTCAGCGCTTCCTGACAGCTGTGAGGACTTGTTGATGACGCAATCGCAAGCTGATAGTCAAGTAAAATGTTGCACTTCGCACGCGTCAGAACTCAAAAGATCTGGCCTTTACTCCACGCTGCCACTCCTTTCGCCGCTGTGCCTGGCAGCTTGCAAACTCACTTCGCTTTACGGGCACAGATGGCTGGGCAAGAGTTCGGGTCCGGAGAATCCCCATGCCGTCCTGTCGCTGCTTCGCGGAAGCCACTGCCTGCTAGGAGGGCTTGGGGGGTTCGAAACAAACCTACCCCGACTCAAAGTGAGTGGAGCACAGCAAGCTCTTTTCAAGCGTCTGGGTGCTCGGGTTTACAGAAACACCCATCACTTCCCACGCACACTTTTCGCATCTGTTGGCTGTGCACCGCACAGAGTTCCCCTTCTGCTGTGGACGCTGCCACCTGAAGGTCAGACCAGGCAGAAGCTCTTGGGTTGTGGGCTTTGTTGCCCTCCAACATGGGTGAGGCCACATCTGCTTCAAGCAGTCCAGAATTAGACCGGCTGCTGAAGGGACCCAGAAGCGGACCGGCTGCTGTCAACTCATGGACAGAGCAAGCTTTAGACAGCATGGCGCGGAATGGGAGCGACTGTCAATATCAAAGCGAGCATGTCAAATGTCATCTATCTTTTCCGTGCAGCACTCCAGAACATAAAACCAGCCACCGTTGAAGAATGTTCAACTTGGACAAACCTGAACGTGCCGGCTTCTGGCTCAAAGCAAAGCTCCTGTCTGCAGATCCTTCATCTGGGAAATGAAGGAAGCCGGAATAATCCCTCCTTTCCCAGGTGACAGAATGACCTGGTTCGCACTCCGAAAGAAAGGAATTCCATCCTTGGACGCTTTGAGGACAGAAGTCTCTGCAGGATGGTTCCCAGCCGCGAGTCGTATTGCAGCTAAGTGACCAGGATGGCAGCTCGCAAGTTAATGTAGACTGCTACCTGACACAATCCCCTTTTGCAGAAAGCTGCTCCGAAACAAAGTCCAGACACCAGACATTGAGACTGAGACCACGAGACGATCTTGGCCATGGCAGAAATGCAACGGTAAGTCGCTGGGAAATCAATCCAAACACGAGGAATATTTCACAGCACAATCAGGCCTCGCAGTTGTATCCTTGCCAAGACATCTTGACAGCTTCCAACTAAGAAAACAAGCAAGATGGCCACTTGGTGAAAAAGGTTGAGAACATGCGCCGACACTGCTAAATATGCTGAATGCTGGAAGACCTGCCAGGAGCTGAATGCTTGCCTGTTTTGTGCTGCAAAGGCGCGCATGCCCGAGATGACTCTGCCATCATGGGGTTCAAAGGGAGCAAAGTGGACATGGTTGCGGTCGGATGCGCCGCCACCAGCGATCAAGCCGCTCCTGCACACAGCAAGGCCATTGCATGTCCCATTGTTGCGAGTCAGTTGCTTTGACCACCAAAGTCAAAAACTCTCCTCTTGATGGACTCCACATTCCGCCTGTATGTGCCATGCACACAAACCTCGCGGGCAGCAACTTACGGTCAGCAGCCGGGAGGCACAAACTCTTCAAGTGCCAAGCCTTGTAAAAGCATCTCTCTAGATACAGATGAATTTCTCTTTACATATATATATATATACAAGTATACTACAACTATATAAGGGGTACAAACAGAGTTGCAAAACCTGTTCCGGCAGCACAGCTTCCTCACTCCAACCTTCGACGTTGAAGACCGAAGACGGATTTACCAGCACCCTGAATGCCATCAGCTGACAGTCGGAAGGTCGGCATCTTCTGCACCAAGACGATGGAGAAGGCTCTCATCCTCCACAGCCTCCAGCATGGCAGCTGTGACTGTTCGCACGACTGACCCGACAGACGCTAATGCGAGACGGGTACTTTCAGATAGCTCTTCTCTGCAGCATACTGCAAGGACTGGCTGTCAAAGTCAGCGGATGAAAACTAAAAACGGAGGCGCTCTGCTTACAGTCCTTCTCTTCTTGATATTCTTCTGCTCTAGGCTTTCACTCTCTCTCTCTCTTCTTCTTCTTCTTCTTCTTCTTCTTCTTCTTCTTCTTCTTCTTCTTCTTCTTCTTCTTCTTTTTCTTCTTCTTGTTCTTCTTCTTCTGCAGGGCATAGGGGGATCCCTGCGCTCTCTCTCTCTCTCTCAAACTCTTTTTCTTTTCTTTCAAGACGCCTGGCCCGGGAGGTTCCAACCCGCATCGAGATCCGGCGGACAAAAGCATCAGCTGCATGTGCCTTCATGGAGTGCCCCTGCACGGCTCTGACAAAAACCTGCGCGCTGAGAGCAGAGCGCGGGAGAACATTTGTGTGATTTCGTTCGGGCACCCTCCTGCCCGGACTCATCTTTGATTTCGAACCTCTTCTTGTCATTCGAATCAACTGCGACCTCGCGGGACACATCCAGTTGACAGGACTGCAGGCTTGAAAAGCAAAAAGGTATCCGAAGGTATCCATACCACGTAGCAAACTTTTTCGACGGCTAACAAAACCCAGTTTTACATGGACAACTCCACCAGTGCCCTCCAAGCAAACTCAGCACCTAGAGAATGGAAGAAGCTTTGCAAAAACGTTCCCGGTTGTTTAAAGAATGCAGCACATATCATCAACCAGTAGGCGCAGCAATTGGTTTCACCAAAAGGTTATCAAGCTGAGATGCCTTGAACTTGCAGCATCTGCACTGGAACTTTTCCAGATGTGCCACAAAAATCGTCGGTTGGGAAATCATTGGCCCAATCCGGTGGAAGAATGTGCGAGACTTTGGACGGATCAATGGTTAAGAAATGGACAGTGATAGAGAAATGTGCGTTTCATCAAGTGAAGTTGTTTAAAGGGGAGGATTTGAGAGAGCTTGACATGCCTAAGCTTTAAGGGGCTAGGGTTCAGGGTCATTGGCATAGGGGTTTGGGGCCAGGGTTGGGTCCAAGGGGGTCGGTTTGGGGCTTGGGGCTACAGGGCTTTAAAGACCTTTTTGGTGCTGGGCCTGGGGCTTCGGAGCTTTAGGGTTGAAGGCCTGTAGTTCTACGTGCTTCAAGCTCGAGGGGCTTATCATACCGAACCCAGGGCTCTTGGAACCGGTTCACATCTTAACTGGGCATGCCGTGGAATAGTTGACCAAACAATCTCTTTTAAAACGCTGGCTGTGCAAATCCGGGCAAAAAGCTGGCAAAGCAACGCACCCCCACCGAAAAGCTGCATTCCTGCCTTGACCTCGTCTGCCGAACAGGACAACGAGGTAAAGTCCTGGAGCTTCAGCAAGTCCTGGGGATGTGACAACACTTGCCGAACTCTTGCCTCATCGCACACTCGACTTTTCGTGCCTAGGTCCTCTAAGCTGCAGAAGCCATCAGCACGGATGCGGACTCCCTGGCTGGCTGCAGTGTGTCGCAGCACACGGGCAAGCGCCTCCGACAGGCGCACAGGTCACTCACTTCTGCAGCAGCTTCCCGGACTGCGCACCTTTGAGATTTGGGTGGTGCGGTCTTTGCCAGCTCCTTTCCCTCCTTTGCCCTTGCCGCCCTTTCCGCCCTGCACAACAAAGCGACGCTACATCCAGCACCTTCTGCAGATGCTTGGCCTGCCTTACGATCTCCCTTCCCATTTAGGAATGGTTGCGGCATGACCTGCTGAACAAAGGCCACAGATTCCAGGATCACACGTTTTCAGGCGGTTGGTTGAAGACTGCTCAGCTGGGCCAGGGACGGGTGACGTAGTTGTCGTTGTTGTTGTTGTCGTGGTTGTGGTCGTAGTTGTCGTCGTCTTGGTGGTGATCTCCTGACGAAGAACCAGTTCGAACTGAACATCCAAAACCACGGTTGATCGAAGGACAGGGTCTGGGGGGAACGGTGGCTGTTATCATTCGGATCATTTGACATCGTTTGGACTTTGTTTTTACCACATCTACAAGGCTGCATTCGGGCCTGCCTGGATCGAAGGGTCTCCCCCAATGAAACCCAAAGAAGAGTTGAAGGATTGAATCGAGCGGCTAAGGTAGCAGGGGACGGATATGTGCAGCAAAGCCCTGGTAACAGAGGGAGATTCAGAAGCCCCCACGTCTCCACCAAGAACAAGCTCGAAAGCGCTGCCAATGCTGAAAAAAGTTAGGAGGTGGAAAAGCCCTAAACAATCCCAATCACTCGCCAAGGAGAGACTGACGACATGCCCCAACGGGAGCACCAAGAAAAACAAACCCCCATCGAACCCCCCAAAGGGTCCCCCTGAACCAGACTGGAGAGGCAAACAAGCATCATCCCGTGCAGGAACCCACGCGCACACACTCACACGCACACACACACACACACACACACACACACACACACTCACACACACACACACACACACACTCACTCACACACACACACACACACACACACACACACACACTCACACACACTCACACACACTCACACACACACACACACTCACACACACTCACACACACTCACACACACTCACACACACTCACACACACTCACAAGACATGCACAAAAAACACACAAACACACACGCGCGCACGCGCAGAGTAATGGCACGAGGTCCTTCTCAGCGCTTCGGCTTCGCCGCTTTCGTGAGCGGCTGCGGCTTCTTCCAGAAAAGACCGGGTGCAATGTTGTCACAAAATTTCTAGGACCATGCACGTGAAATGAAGACATTCCAGTATCTTCAAGACACTTCACAGCACATCACCGCTCCATTCCTCCGACGCTTTCTGGAACGCGAAGATTTGCTCCTGCTCCTCCTGCTCCTGCTCCTGCACTGCTTTGCATGTGAGAGCTTCACGAGGATGATTTCAAGGACTCTTGTACATCACCCTTGCCTGCTTCTCTTGCGGCGCGGCGCTTCATGTGGCTTGGAGGCCTCCTCTCTCTCACTGGATGGTGACCTCAGGAGAAGTGCATCTTGACACCTGCACAAGCTGGATGGTTTTGGCCTCCACTGGCCTTTCACATGCCTTGGGCGGCTTCGGCTTTTCAGATTCAGGCACCTTCTCCAAGTTCCTGGGCCAATCTGGCGCAACATGCCATTTTTGGAACCCTTCCCTCGTAGGAGAAAAAAGCGTAGAAATATGGGCCCTCCGAACGGGATGCAGCATGAAGTCGCTTTGACTCTATAAATTTGACTGAAAGTCGATAGCCTGAAAACTAGACCAGCAATCATGCACATCAGCCAGCGCGACACCTTGTAGCCAACCGCCACTTGAGTCAACGGACAAAGCCAAGAAGCTCCTCCTTCACGCACTTGGGTTTGTCCGTCCAGTTCACCGTAACCTGAGTGCATCCACTGGACATCATTTTTGAAGGATACTTGGTTGTAATAGTCCCATGTTGAAGTATTGAGCCTGCTTTGCGGCACAGGGATTGCGATTGCCGGGTCATCAAGTTTTTGGCTTCATGCACTTTGATCCCGCTGCTGGTTTGATGTTACTATAACTGCTCTTGGTCCTTTTCGTTGGACGTATGTCTGCACACACGTAGCCGGCTGACATCCACAACTGCATCATACGAACGCCGAATGCGGCTTGGCGATACTTCACGAAAGCTGCCTGTTTGCGGGTAAACCTTCCACCGCGGTATCCCCACTCAAATACAAAAGCAATCGCATAGGAGCGAACATTTGACATATCTTCTCTATACATCTCTAGTAGAACAGAATGGAACCTCCACGACTTCTATCGCCGGGAGATGGGCAAAGAACATGCTCTTGATTCATCCACTACAGGTTCTACCTGTCGCACATGACAAAGCACTGGGTCAATCAAACACTCTGTCCGTATTTTGCAGGTGCTCTGCAATCTGAGCTGGGTCCTTCACTTCGTACCTTCCTTTTGCGTCGCTGAAGCCTGCGACGGTTCCATCTTTTCCATTGTCACCTGCACTTTTCGCACCGACCTGAAAGTCGAGTCGGCTGATGCTCTCAACATAACCGGCCGCTACGTGCAGCTGGTAAACTGCTGCAATCAAAGGTGCAAGGCCATGGAACCTCACCCTGTCGCCGGTCTTGAATTTCCGCTCTGGCATTGCTGGGTCAGTGTCCTCAAAGCCGCACCAAGCTACTTCTGACTGAATCTGATGCCCTTCTGTGCACTTCCCAGCCTGCACAGGGACGTTGAGATCGTGATGATCGCGGTTCTCAACACCATGTTGCCGGGATGGCACCGCGGGGAGGCCACAACATGCCCACTTTGCTTTACAGCGTGTTGAAACTTCTAAAACGTTGTGATGTTGTCAGCCTGTTGACCACGCATCGTGCTCACATCTAACGTCCAAATAGGCATCTAAATTGTGAATGAAATGTCGCATCTTATGCTTTGGAGGCGGAGCCTGACAGCTTTCAAAGGCCAGGAAATCTATTTCGCAATCCTTACAGACGCCAAGTTTGTGCCTTTCGAAGTTCCCGCTCAAAGAACTTATCCTGGTTGGCAGCCGCTTTCGCCTGTGGTGGCACAAGGGAGCAATCTTCCAGATACGTTCGGCAGTCAAGAGCAGACAAAGGCAGCGATGGGAGCGGCAGACAATGACAAAACAAAATCTCGTCCTGCTTCTGAGCTTCCCTTTCCTGCTTCTGCTGCTGCCTGCATGTCATCATCAATGGGCACTCAACTCATACTCGTGGTCCTATGCGGTATCTGGCTTTCGTCCAAAAACAAATCACATGCACATGCCCTTCGACCATCTTTCTCAACATTCCACCTCTGTCTCTGTTCCTCTTGTCGCGTGCTTCGGCTTCTCACTTCTTCTTCCCAACCGTTTGACTGGCTTTGCCTCTCAGACATCGACAGCTCACATTAAACCCTGAACCATATGCCAACGTCGCCCTCCCGTCTCAACGTGACATCAACCTGGTAACACAAGACGCGAGCCTGTGGCGGGTACTGTAGCTGCTGCTTTCATAGCTGTCATAGCCATAGCCGTTGTATCTGTAGCTGTCAGCAGTTCTTGATGCGTAGTTGCTTGTAAAAGACCAGCGTTCCCGTCCTGGCAACGAAACAAAATAAACAAAGGTTCTCGAGCATTCCCAAAGCGCGTCGATGCCTAAAGCCTAAAGCCATGCCTTCTGGAGTGCCCAGTTCTTCCAATGCCTGGCACTCCCGAATGTGCGGTGCGGGCACATGCAAAATCGAAGGAGGACGGGCGATTCCCATCCCTGTTTGCAAAATATTACAGGAGTGCGATTAGGAAGAAACAACATGTTCAAAGCATTCGTCCAAATCACACGCGGGCGACAAAAGTTCAAAAACAACAACACCATTTAAACCCGTTATAACGAAAGCCAACGCCAAAATCGGCACATACCCGCGATTACCCACGACGAAGGGGGAGCATCGGGAAGGAACGATCAAACTCAAGAGAAGATGTAAACTTTCACCAAAGATGGCATCGGGGACGAGCACATCGCGAGATCATGTTGTCGGCCTCACGGATAGCACGGAAGCGATCCTCGTCACCAGTACCTGCACAACGCGCTCAAGCCGACATAGCAAGCACATTCCCGAAGAGGCCAATAACACCGTATCTCTAAACAAATCTGCCCAATCTTGCCTGGCACATCAGGATGGTACGTCCTGTGCGAAGGTGCTATCTGAAAGCTGAATTGCCGTGCAGCCAATTACGGCAGCAGCGACAGCAAAACGGCAACAGCAACAACAAAATGTATTTTGCTTGCACGAAAGCACCGCGAAGGGTTCGTCGGAAAGAAACGCTGGCCCTGCTCTACACCGCACGAAGCACACCATGATCACGACCCCGCACTACCGCACCACTTAAGCCGCCTTTGCCACGACCACGACACCGACTACCGCACGGCCAGGTTTAGGGTTTCGGGTCTAGGGTTTAAGGTTTAGGCCTTTACAGAGGCTTTGGGAGGTATCCCGTAATTGACGGGCCAGGTTTGGGGTTTAGAGTTTCAGGTTTAGGGCTTAGGCCTTTGCAGAGGCTTTGGGAGGTATCCCGTAATTGACGTGCCAGGTTTAGGGTTTAGGGTTTAAGGTTAGGGCTGCACAGAGGCGTTGGGCCTTGGGAGGTATCCCGCGATTGAAGGGCCAGGTTTCGGGTTTCGGGTTTTAGGGTTTACGGCTCAGGGCTTTACAGAGGTATCACGTCGGCTTTGGGAGGCATCCCGTAATTCAAGGGGCCAAGGCTTCACAGGCTTTGGCAGGCCCAAGAGCCGTGCGATGGGGCGACCTTTCGCTTATAAGAGCTGCACCTTATGCCACTCGGCTACTGAAGTCTTAAAAGCCCTAAGGGGTTATACTCTTTATTTATAGGGTTTAAGGTTCAGGGTTTAAGGCTTTAGGGTTGTAGGGCTTTAGGGTTGTAGGGTTTTAGGGTTTTGGGGTTTTAGGGTTTTGGGGTTTTGGGGTTTTAGGGTTTTAGGGCTTTAGGGTTTTTAGGGTTTTTAGGGTTTTTAGGGTTTAATGCTTAGGGTTTAGGGTTAAGGCTTGAGGGTTGAAGGTTTAGGCCTTAGGGCTCTGGAAGGCCTTAGCCGTCAAGCCTCTGCAAAGCTTTTTGCCAAGCAATTACAGGATCTACCTCCCAAAGCCTTTGTAAAGCCCTCGCCAAGCATTACGGGATACCTCCCAAAGCCTCTGTCAAGCCTTAAACAGGCAATTACGGGATACCTCCCAAAGCTTCTGTAAAGCCTTAGCCCGTCAATTCCGGTATACCTCCCAAACCCTTTGAAATTCACGGGTTAGAAGCTAGAGACTCTCAAAACCTCCTAAGGTTTATAAGGGTTAATTATAGGGTTTAGGGCTCAGGGTTTTAAGTAGTGTTTAGGGTTAAGGCTTGAGGGTTAAAGGTTTAGGGCTTAGGGCTCTGTAAAGCCTTAGCCCGTCAATTACGGGATACTTCCTAAGCCTCTGTAAAACTTTAGCCAAGCAATTACGGTATACCTCCCAAAGCCTTTGTAAAACCAAAAACCTGAGCCAAGCAATTACGGGATACCTCCCAAAGCCTCTATAAAGCCTTAATTAGCCCGTCGATGCCTCCCAAAGCCTCTGTAAAGCGGGTGAAAGGCTCTAAACCAAAGCCAATACACAGGCTTGCAAAAAACCGTCCCGTAATTCACAGGTTATATAGGCCAAGGCACCCAAGGCACCCGTCCCGTATTTTCGGGTTAAAGACCCCTTCCCGTAATTCGCGGCCCGCCCCCCGTCGTTTCAAGAAGTTAGACTGGTACGCAGTCTCGGCTGAGCCAACAACCACAACAACCACAACTTCCACAACAACCACAACAACCACAACAACCACAACAACCACAACAACCACAACAACCACAACAACCACAACAACCACAACAGCCACAACAGCCACAACAGCCACAACAACCACCACAACCACCACAATCACCACAACCGCCACAACCGCCATAACCACCACAACCACGACCACGACCTCCACAACCACGACCACGACCGCGACCACGACCGCGACCACCACTACCCCAACCGCAGCAGCCGGCAGCGACAGCAAAACACAAGCAAAAGCAACAGCAAGACACGCGCGCATGCATGTGAAAATAGGAAAAGGCGACAGCACGACGAGAACACTGACAGCTACAACATCATGATAGCAGCTGATAGCATCATGAAAACAAAGAATACAAAAGAGACATGTGCACTTTCAGGTTGACAAGTCCCGTCCTGGCAAGACTGCGGAAGGCTGACCGGATCTCATCATACGAGGCGCTCCGCGACAGGCCCAAGACATCAAAGGGATTTCGAGAGACCGCCCGTCTTGAGACGAGGGTGGTCCGAGCGTGGGCTGCCCGATGTCCCAAGACAAACTGCGATGATGGCCAATACCGCACTGCCACAAATGATGTCAGCAAAGTTGCGAAAATCTGGCGCCATGTCCACCCATCATGCCAGGATCCATCCAGTGACACTTTGCATCGCATTGCTGCGTGCGAGTGCTGGGAGGAGAGATCACAAGAGTTAGAAGCGAACCTTGACAAGTGTTTGGCAGCGTTGCAATGACTGCAGCAACAGGCGCAGGATCAATTACAAACGTGCAACATCCCAGGTCCTGAGACACAGTCTAGCATGTGTTTGGTGTAGTTGGCATGTTTGCGCACGAGAAACGCTGCGGGAGAAAGCTCTGAAGCAGAAGATACTGTCGGCGGCAATCCCTTTTCTTGCTATCTCTCTGTCTCTCTCGCTGTCTCTCGCTGTCTCTCGCTGTCTCTCGCTGTCTCTCTCTCTCTCTCTCTCTCTCTCTCTCTGCGAAGATGCGAAACCTCCAGGCAAGACCATCAGCGGTAAGTGCAGTAGACCCAGGCATGTTTGGGTACCTGGGTTGACAATCGTGGCACACGACACCCCCAAGCGTTGACCACACATGAGATCTGCGCGAATGCACCATGGACAATCTTGGAGTTCCATTGACCTTACTTGCGCAGGCAAGGGACTCTAATCAAGCACTCAAGAAAAAGCTACATCGTGTCGATATTGGGTGTCGCGCTCCACCGTGGTACAATGGTCTGGTCATGAAAGCCTGCTTGCAGAAGATGCGTGGCAGCCATCGGCAAGCGAAACGAATTCAAGCTGCATCCAGGGACCCCCAGGTTGTAACCACATTCTGACTTTGTTTAGCCTGCTGAGACCAGCTTGTGACAGAACAATCTAGCAGCTCCAACCTTTTGGCACCCACACAAGATCTCGAAATGGAACAAGAAACGGGGCAAGCCTCCAGGAGCCAGGTTCTTTTGGGGTGTTTTTTTGGTTTTTGTTTGGGTACGTTTTCGGGTTTTAGGGTTTAGGGTTCAGAGGTTCGGGGTTAGTGGTTAGGGGTTTAGCGTTTAGGGTTTCGGGGTTTAGGGGTTTAGGGGTTTAGGGGTTTTAGGGGTTTAGGGTTTTAGGGCTTTAGGGTTTTAGGATGTATTAGGGCTTTGGGATTAGGGTTTAGGGTTTAGGGGTTTAGGGGTTTAGGGTTTTAGGGCTTTAGGGTTTTAGGATGTTTTAGGGCTTTGGGATTAGGGTTTAGGGTTTAGGGTTTAGATAACCAAAATAAATACCCAAAAATATCCAGCAAGAACCCCCACCCCAAGCCTCCACACCAATGTCGCCCATCAGCTTGCCAGTCCAAATGCCCAAGAGCAATCCCTGGAAGAGACATGATAGTCTGCAATTCTCCCTTCCATTCCGTCCCGCCCCCAAAACTTGAAGGAGTCAGGTTGGGATGGGGTGCGGGGGCGAAGCCTTGTTCTGTCTTAGTTGAAAAGCTTTCTCCGGAATGTAAGGACTTGGCCTTACATAGGTCTAATCTAGATGTTTCGTTTGGGCCTAGCACCAAACCCTGAAAAGAAGACCGTGTCAGCAGGCAAACCGTACGGCGGACTGGCAATTAATACTGGCACAGCCTTCACAATGGTTCCAGGCCTGCATGGGCATACGCAAACACAAGGAAGGTATTTGTGTAGTGTCTGGCAAGCCTCGGCAGTGCCTCCTTCAACTCGTGTGAGAAGCACGACCTTACTTATTCATAAGATCCTCTCATCCTCGCCCATGACCGTCATCGGCCACATGCGGACAGGATTCAAAGAGGGCTGCAAGACAATCATGCAAAGAACATGACATGAGCGGCGGACAGGCAAATTTGCCCGGTCACGACGAGACCCGTCCACAAAAAACCTCCGCCTCAAAGGCATTCAAGAAGGAGACCCTCTTGAGAATCACATTGACTCACATGATAGACTTCGCAAGGCAGCTCACAGACTGTGCCAGCGACCACTGGTGTCATTCTGCGCCCTGCACCGTCCGGGCCCCTCGGCTCCGAACCCAGTCCGAAGAGCTGCAGGTCCTCCGTTCGATGAAAAGTAGCGGCGCGGATCAGCCAAGAGGACCTGCCGCCCATGCGACACACGTGAGCACACTGCAGCGTATATGTTCAAGTGTGTGCAAGTGTACATCTGTACAGGAGCTTGTGAAAACTTGAACTGCTGTAATCCAACCATGGAGGGCCCGGACGCTTCCCACAGGAGGAGTTCCATCTGCGATTTGCAGCCTTTCTCAGGACGAGTACGTGTGGTTCATTCTGGTCATGTCACCTCATGTCGACTTTTTGCCACTAGCGTGATTGCTTTCACCATGCGGAAGCAATGAGGTCACCCTGCCTCTCGACGGTCAAATCCGCGCCTGTCCAGCAAGCAATGAATCTCAGATGTGGAGCCCTGTTAGCAGACCCTGCAAATAAGACCAGAACCTTCCTTCATTTGCTGAGAACAGCACTTCGTGGCTGTGTATGAAAGGCATTTGTCTGCTGACGTACATACACAAGCTGTCTTCACAAACTCAGCATCGAAGCCAGAAGCATGCAAAGAAAACGAGACCGTTCCGCGAACCGACATCAGCCTAGCAGCAGTATGCATGAACTTGCGAACCTGCAGGCGACACAGAAAATGAGGTGGCAGCAGACCCACCACCCTGCCAGCTCAATCGCATCCAGATGCTGTCTGCAACATCGTCACGTTTGCAAACCCATGGCCTCATTCCAGATTTTGGTGAGACGTTCCTGTGCAAGACGCAGTTCTTTGGATGCCTGGCTGCGTCAAGACGCAATTCTTCGATCTCGCACAAGTACCCGGATATTGCGTTTATTCTAAAAGCATCCACCCAGGACGAATGCCACATTTACCAGGACGTTTCAAAGACATCCAAGTACCAAAAGTATCGCATAAGGTTTCTTTATGCGATGCCTGCGCAATCTCCTACGCAATGTGTAGGCAGCTCCGCCTTATCATCTTCGGCATCGTCTGCATTCTGACAGGGCCGGCTGCAACAGCAAATGGGAGCAATGATGCTTTGGAGTCATAGGTAAACATGTGAGATGAATTTATATCAATGCAATGGCCTCAGGGTATGCTGCACGAGCGGTCAAGACACCGCCTCGCATGAGATCTGCGAACTTGCAGGTGTGCAAAAACATGGTTTAAAAGCACCTCTATCTCGTTGCCCATTCCGGTGTCGCACCTCATCTGCACATCAAAGCGGGAAAGCAAGCTCAAATCTGGACGCGATAAGCAACCGGCGATTTTGGAGGCAATGAAAGGCACGAACAAGTCACTCAGCGATTGTCCGAGCAGCCTGCTGGCCATTGACGACAACGTGCAAAATTGCAAGGTCAACGACTTCGTAACTATTCAAGACATAACTCGGCTAAGGCCACAGCACAGCACCAGTTGCCAAGGCAAGTTTCACTGCGAACTGAACCTCGCAAAACGCCCGATGTCCTCAACCAAACCATTGACCGCTAGGTTGTCTGGATCAAAAAACGCCAAACACGCACTGAGCGTGGCTCTAACCCATGTCGAACAGGCAAAGATTTTCCAGTTCGCACCACCATTGGGGCCATAAGCCGCCTTCCATGGCACAAATTGTCAATGGAACATGGCCAAGGATCTGTAGCATGGTTATGCAGCCAAGAACAAAAGATGAGGGGTTGTTTGAAATTTGGTGCATGGACTAGACATGTCAGTTCTCAACTCCGTAAAATACGCGCATACAGAACTGTTGCCACTGCTGTTGCTGCTGCTGCAAGCATCACGTATCAACTTACTACAGCTTGTTGAATGTTGCACAGAAGCCGGAAACAATCAAATGCAGACAAACTGGCCGACCCGAAAAAAACAACAAAGGCGTAGTCGTAGTCGCAGTCGCAGTCGCGGTCGCATTCGCACTCACAGTCGCAGCCGCAGCCGCAGCTGTAGCCATAGTAGTCGCAAATCGTCGTCGTCGTCATCATCGCCGCCGTAGTAGTAGTAGTAGTAGAAGTAGTAGTAGTAGTAGTAGTAGTAGTAGTAGTAGTAGTAGTAGTAGTCGTAGTCGTAGCCGTAGCTGTAGTAGTAGTAGTAGTCGTCGTAGTAGTCGTAGTCGTAGTCGCAGTCGCAGTCGTAGTGGTAGTGGAAGTGGTAGTGGTAGTGGTGGTGGTAGTGGTAGTGGTGGTGGTCGTGGTGATGGTTCGTAGTAGGTAGTGGTAGTGGTAGTGGTAGTGGTAGTAGTAGTAGTAGTAGTAGTAGTAGTAGTAGTAGTAGTAGTAGTAGTAGTAGTAGAGTAGTAGTAGCAGTAGTAGTAGCAGTAGTAGTAGTTAGTAGTTAGTAAATAATAGATAGTAATTAGTAGTAAGTAGTAAGTAATAAGTAGTAAGTAGTAAGTAGTAAGTAGTAAGTAGTAAGTAGTAAGTAGTAAGTAGTAAGTAGTAAGTAGTAAGTAGTAAGTAGAAAGTAGAAAGTAGAAAATAAGTAGTAAGTAGTAAGTAATAAGTAGTAAGTAGTAAGTAGTAAGTAGTAAGTAGTAAGTAGTAAGTAGAAAGTAGAAAGTAGTAAGTAGTAAGTAGTAAGTAGTAAGTAATAAGTAATAAGTAGTAAGTAGTAAGTAGTAAGTAGTAAATAGTAAATAGTAAATAGTAAGTAGTAAGTAGTAAGTAGTAAGTAATAAGTAGTAAGTAGTAAGTAGTAAATAGTAAGTAATAAGTAGCAAGTAGTAAGTAGTAAGTAGTAAGTAGCAAGTAGTAAGTAGTAAGTAGAAAGTAGTAAGTAGTAAGTAGTAAGTAATAAGTAGTAAGTAGTAAGTAGAAGTAGTAGTAGTAGTAGTAGTAGTAGTAGTTGTTGTTGTTGTGGTAGTAGTAGTTGTTGTAGCAGTAGTTGTGGTAGTAGTAGTAGTAGTAGTAGTAGTAGTAGTAGTAGTAGTAGCAGTAACAGTAGCACATCCCTTTCACACTGCTGCACGAGCACAAAAGGCAGTTCTCGCTAGTAGATCCTGCACTCAGAGTGCCTCCTAATCTTAAACACTTGTGACTAACACTTGGCCCACCAGCTCTAGACCCTGCCAACTGAGCTTGCACCCACAGCAACTGCTTGCCTCAGAAGAGAATCACATCCATACTGCTCCTCAATTGCCTTACTGCCTGCCGCCGCCCAGTCTCTACAGAAGTCCTCCCCAGTCCCAAGGTCAACGACATGCAGCCCAAGGTGCAACAGCCTGATACCAGGAGCCTAATCATCAAGTGCCCTCAATCAACTAAACTCCTACGATCCTCTGCCTCTCTGCATAGTGATCCATGTGGGACGCCACTAGATGGACACTAAGGGCGACGGCCAACCGGTACGACCCAAATGCAGATGGGTGCGTGTTTGCTGGACGCAGCGAAACACACTAGGACGACGGGGAGACGCCCTTCTCACACATGATCGCCAGGTAGCTCCTAGTCCTACTCTAGCCGACAAGCAAGTTATCTTGATCCCTAGCCTCGTGAGGTTTCACCGTACTTGTACAGTGTTGAATTCAGTCTCACCTCTCCTAAACATTAGCTCCAACCCAATTTTCGGTGCTCAGACGGTGCAAATCGCCCGCAATGAGCAGAGCCCGCTCGCTCAGCGTTCAATAATAAATAGTAGTAGTAGTAGTAGTAGTAGTAGTTGTAGTAGTAGTAGTAGTTGTTGTTGTTGTTGTTGTTGTTGTTCTCGTTGTTGTAGTAGTACTCGTACTAGTACTAGTACTAGTACTCGTACTAGTAGTAGTAGTAGTAGTAGTAGTAGTAGTAGTAGTAGTAGTAGTAGTAGTAGTAGTAGTAGTAGTAGTAGTAGTAGTAGTAATTTTGTTGTTGTTGTTGTTGTAGTTGTAGTTGTAGGAATGGTATTAGTAGTAGTAGTAGTAGTAGTAGTAGTAGTAGTAGTAGTAGTAGTAGTAGTAGTAGTAGTAGCAGTAGCAGCAGCAGCAGTAGCAGCAGCATAGTAGTAGTAGTAGTAGTAGTAGTAGTAGTAGTAGTAGTAGTAGTAGTAGTAGTGTTGTTGTTGTTGTTGTTGTTGTAGTACTCGAAGTCGTAATCAGAACAACAAAACTGAGAAAGTATAAATAGATTAAAGTAGTCATAGCAATAACAGCAATAACAGTAGGAATTACAACAGTGCTTTTTGACTTTGATTCGCAGCATCCGAAGACGCCCTGCGTGTCTTAGGCAGTGCTGTACTTTGGACACCTCACTCAAAGAAAGTGTAAGAATATTGCCCGAAGAAGTCGCATGAACATCGCAGCACACCAACCAGCGAGCCACAAGCTTGTCTCCGCTGAGTCACGCGAAATGTCTTTCCGTGGGACGCCTCTTCTCCGGAGTGGGGTTCTCGTGTCCATTTTGCAACTGTCTGATTTCACCTTCGGTTCTGTTTTTTTTGTGTTTGTGTGTCAAGTTTTAAATGGTTGGAAGCGAAGTCTAAAATTGAAACTTGCGGCTGCAACCTGCATCAAGCGATTCTGTCCAGTTTTAAAAACAATCAAAAGCATTCTTTTCACCTCAAGTTCTATCAATTTGGATGCGAAAGAATAATGCGCACCTCTGATACGTTGGCTCTGTTGCCTATCCATGTAAATAAAAATCACGTATGCACCTAATGGGGAATGTTGTTCTCAAATTAGTCTCGACTAATCAGGACAAAACCACACTGGAATTGACAGCAAATGACAATATAAATTGTAGTAAGTGTTGTCGTGAATGTAAAGAATGTAAATGTACTGTTGTAAAATAATTTGGTCATTAATTCACCCTACATTGCACTCACATCTAAATAAGATCTTCATCTAATTTAGCAATCATGCATTGCATATACCATAATCTTGATGGGTCCACAACCTTTGCTCAAAGAAGGGAGCTTGAGGAAGCTTAAGGGGGGGGGCTAAAAGAAGGCTTAAGGGGGGCTTGAAGGGGGCTTTAAGAGGGGAAGACTTAAAGGGGGGTTTAAAGGGCTTGAAGGAAGCTTTAAGCGGGCTTGAGGAAAGGCTTTAAGGGGAATTAAAGGGCGAAGAGGGCTTTAAAGGGGGCTTAAAGGCAAGGAGGGAGCTTGAGAGGGGCAAAAAGGGGGCTCAAGGAAGCTTAAGGGGGCATAAGGAGGGGGGGGGGCTTTGACCCTTTGCCCCCCCCCCCCCCCGAAGGAACTCCCTTTGCAGGATTCCATTTAAGAGGGGCTTAAGGGGGGCTTAAAAGGGGGCTTAAAGGGGGGCCCCCTTTGCCCAAAGGGGGGGAGGGTCCATCCTCACCACAATAACCATGGTAAATCTTTGTGATGTAAGCATTTTGTGGTTGCAAAGTGGGTTAGTTTGTCTTTGGCTTCAGTGTGCAAGGAAAGGTAAAGCATTCGTTTCCACACCGTCACCACCGTCTTCTTACCTTCTCGCAGGCCTTTCTTCATTCCATCCAAGTCCAGACCCTGTCACTTTGGAACAGCCACGAACACGGCTTGCACCAACAAAGGTGCAATCTTACCCGTCTTCGGAGTCTCCGAACTTTCTTCAATGCCCATGTTGTCCTTACAACCAGACACGACCTCCAGCTAGAGTCACTTGACATTCTAAACACCTCCAGAATCCATCCCAGTAAGTGTGCAGAAACTGAAAGTGGAGGTCCATTCGCAGAGACTTAAGTTTAAGCACCACGACAAAAAATAAAGAAACATTGAACAAAGCCTTGATTTTCTTTTCCATTCGACTTTTTTGACAAAGCTTCGATTGCGTTCTCTTGTCTTTGATTTTCCAAAATGGCCAAACAGAAATTCAAGGCACACTGAAATGACAGAAGAGCAGAAGGAATCTGCTTTCTTTCAGTTTAGAGCATAAGTGGCAGAAATACCATACTTTCCAAGAAAAACTCTGACGTTCTTGACAAAGGCCCACAAAGGCAACGCGCCTCCGTTCCATGGAGAATAAATATTGACGTTCACAAGGCTTTTGCTAGCATCGGTCTTTTCCAATATCTTCTTCTTTACTGGTGCATGGCAATGAAGTTCCGGCGCACGCGCAAAACCTCTAACCAAGCCCGCTAAAGTTCTTATTCTCCAATGTCGAGCAGGCAACTCTGCGCAACCACAACCTGCAGCTTGTTGGGTCCACTTTCAGACTTGCAAACACCAAGCAAGTTCTGGCTTTGCGGATTGCTCAACTTTAAGTTTTTTTTTCTGTTTTATTTTTTTGTACTTTTGTTCCTTTATATTCCACAAAACGAATTTTGGATTAAATTTGGTTTTTGAGCTAGCTGCGGCTTAAAATTCTTTTCACGCCTTGAAAGGCCTCAAAATCCCATGAGTAAGGCCTCGGGAGGCCTCGGAATGCCTCGGAAGGCCTCTCAACCCTGATTTCGAAACAGGCAGGGTTCTGCAAAGCCCGAAAGCTTCAACCCTAAACCCTCAACCCTTAACCTCAAACCCAAAACAGCCAGAGTTTTGCAAAGTCCGACAGCCTCAACACTGACCCAAAACCTTAAACCAGCGCACAACGACCAACTCAAAAAAAATGACGTCTAAAACCAAACCAATGGCTTGGCAAGTGCTTCCCGTACCACGCCTGCCAGTTACTTTGCAC